GTTTTTCCGCCAGGAAAATGTATTAAACGCAACACTACAGTCGATTGTTTACAACTTTTGAAATATTTACCATTGTATCTTGTTGATGGGAATGACTACCCTCATTTTTCCCCACTCACAACCACCTGAAGATGTACAACTGCAGCAAAAGCTCAACAGACGGGCAGATTGCCCGACGAACAGACAGACGAAACCATTATTGTACTTAATTAACGAAGTCCGCCTCAAGGTAGATAAGATGCTAGCTGACAACCGTTGAAGATCGATGGCCGCTTGCGTGCGTTTTATTGACTAGTTCAGCAACGATTCATGCAAGAGACAGTCCATAGAAGACTAACTCCTCAGCCCTGCAAATTCCTCGCGCTTCATTCGCGATGCATCACGGGAAAAAAGTTGACATTCGATTAGTGAGACGTCACCGAAAAGTATTCCCTTTGCACTGTAGGCGACAGAGGCTTGACCTGACAAGTTTGACGTTTTCTTGTTTATGTACCCCCGCCATCGATGTTGGTACAATATTAACAGACTTTCAAATGCAGTTTCTGCTTGTGTGGTACTACACGTATATAACACCGAAGACAGCACGCCGAGTGTAAGAGGTGAGCCATGATGCTGGTAATGTGACCCCTTTCTATATAGGCAAACGCTTGGTAGCGCACGCCTTTATGAAACCCTGCTTCCCCGGGCCCGGGGATGATCATTTCTTTGCACATTCTGATTTGGTGCCATAGCAAAAAAAAATTAATTAATTGTTTTTGGAATAACAAAATAGATATATACGATTGATGTCGACGTCATGTCCAACCTCCAGTTTTTAGGCCAAATTTAGCCTATAGCACAGTGAGGACTCTCTTGGTGAATACAATTTAACCTCAGAAGAGCATTTTCTTTCGGCGTCACGAGGATTGGCGTCACTGTTTAATACCCTGGACACCCCAGTTAGCTTGAACATTGCACTGCGGTGTCGAGTGCCGGGATGAGAGAGCAGCCACTGGAAGGGTCCTGCTAGACGCCACGGGGACCAGGTTAAACTTCGGTGATGCCACAGCGTTCATGTAGCCGTAAACGTAGTGTTGAAGCATACAATAGGCCTTTGGATAAAAACGTTGACTGCCATTGTTGTGTGGGCAGCTAAAGGTTGCAGAAAATTCACCCTAGTTTGGTATTACAGATTTAGTTTGCCACAAAGACCACATTTACCTCATCGGTTTTAAAACTTGTGAGGCATGTTCATTTTTAAACTTGGCAGAGGTACATGTATTTATTGTTTAGTATTTGATAGTTGAGAACGTTTTTTTGACACTTTGTGAATTATTCGTTTGTTTTGTACTCAAGACCCGCCATCATTTGCAAAAGTTGTGTCTGTGACGTAAAAAAGACGGGCCCCTATTGGTTGGAACATTTGGGTGTGTGCACGCCCGCGAGGCTGCATCAGGCCCGGTTTGTTTAATGCAGATCAGGATCGCCATCAGTGTTTTGACGTTGGTTCACTGACATCGAAATCCGCCAAGTGGATAGTGTGAACCAGCTTTGGGATCACAGAGCACGATCCAATTCCTTGTGAAACAAATGGGTCCAATTTGGTGTCGCTCCCTGGGTAACATGCGTCGAACCGTGCCGCCAGACTAGTCTGCATAGCTTTAGTTTTGTACGTTCCCCTGCCTGCTGGTGTCCTGGTTCGAATCTCGAACGCGCGCAAGTGGAAAGAATGGTTGATTTTTTTTCATCCTCCATCGAATTCCGCGTGGTTCGCTCGGGGGTATTTAGCTAACCCCTTTTTACCTCTTTTTATTTACAGCAGTACATATTTCATCCCACCCCGGAAAGCCCTTTTCCACTCACTACACAAAAATTTCAGCCGAGCGCATCTGTACAGTCTTACTGTTGACAGAAAAACCAACACCACTGACTACCACCAACAGCACCACCTACACCAACACAAACAACACATTGGTGTACAAAAATGATAGGCAAAGAAAAGAACTTAAGCAGGGACTGCAGTGAAAGAAATCCAACGCCCAGCCTCCTGCTGTTAAGACAATCTTTTCTTCGCTTCTCACAAACCAGAAATGCTTCCACTTCAAAGCACTCACGAGGCTGTCGCAGGAAAAGAGATGCGGGCAATCTCGGTCCCTCGTGATAAGCTCAGTCGGTGACAGTAATGTATCATCATATGAGGCGGCTGTGCGTGAAATGGGACGGTGCGTCGTCCCCGCACATCATTCAAGACCATCCCCATCAGCGGTTATACGCCGTCGTTTTGGATTTCGCATTTCGCATTAAACCGAACTGCTCCAGATGGATAGAACATTTTAATGGCCATCTAGGGTGTAGGGTTCTGCAATTAATCCAGTCAATTTCTTTCTTTTTAATTTTTTTTAACATCACTCAGAGAGATATGTTATAACCGTGATTCATGAGAACGCCCAGCAGTATACCACTGGGCGGCCTTATCGGTTCAGATGGTATAGATTTCCAAACGAGCCATCGGCCTGTGGATTATATATTTGTTTCACTGTTTGGTATAAATGCTCCGGGAAAATTTCCAAGATAGGTTATTAGGTTGGCATTAAAGTGTAAAATTTCGAGGTTTGTTAATTTGACGTGGTACATCTTTCTATAGTAAGAAGAACGGAACTGAAAATTTGTGGTAAAAGGGTCACATATTAACCAGAAAATATTCCTATAGATATCAGTGATACTGGAGTTTAGTGGCAGGTTTTCTAGGTTATATTTCGACTTCGGAAGTTTGAGTTTTAATGCCTACACTATACTCGTGCCAACAGCATTGCAAAAAGAAACGTAGTTTTGAAAGCGTGTCGGAATACACATTAATATACAACAGAAGACGGTAATTTTCTTGGCTTTAGACGGCCTTGTAAGTTTGTTATTTTGTTACGTTGACTGACGCTAAAAATATTTTGACTGCTCCACATAGTTTAATCTCAGTGAAATTTGAAGACTTTAATGGTTTTTAGGGCAGTGGAAATAGTTCCTTATATACTTCTATTTCTTCGGCAAGGGATTTCGTACAACTAAAGTATGAAAAACTTAATTCTCAACCTTTTGATGTAGTTACTGTTGGAACAACTCCTCCTGTAAAGCGTTCATGTATGCAATTAATTTACAGCCCTTGAAATTATTCTTAATGTCCCAATTGACGTTATTTTCAATCTGCTCTGCTATTCCACAGGTATTTTGGAGCCTTTTCGGTTTTAAGGCTGATGCGAATTTCCATATTCATGAGCAAAACTGTGATGTCATCGTAAGGACAGTTGCATTGATTTGTGGACAAAAAACTGCTGGAATTGTTCACATTTGTGTTGTAATAAATTTTCTTTTTCTTGGTGATCCATTGTCATGTAAATTAACGCAAAAGAGCATGGTTTTCTAAGGAAAGATTTTAAAGGACAGCATTTGGAATCAGAATTTGATGAGAAGTAGGCCTACATGCCAACTGAGCAGTGTCTTCCCTGATTGGTATTACAGTGACAGTGCCCTCACTTGTTCAGAAAAGCTTGGTTGTCAATGTTTGAAAAAAGCGAACTTTCAATACACTTGACACCCAAAGGATTTCAAACGTACTTTTCATACGTTGACACAACTTGATGCACAAAAGTGGCGTCTGAGAGAAATTTTTCGCACGGACCCGTTTTTACGCCATTCCTTTAAAAAAGAGATGGCAAATAGAAATATAACACGCATGGTTATTCACTAATTTTTTCCACTTCTGTGACCCATTTTCCACACACTTTGACTGCCGAAGGTTGACTGCAGTTGTTCCCCACAACGTGACTTGCTTGGACGAGTTGGCGGATGCCGGAGTACGCACCGTGGCCATCGGTCCATCCGACCGAGAAGCCTACCACGCCGGCTCGATAAAATCTAGCGCAGGAAAGCGACGGTCATCTCCTGCTTTCCAGCAGGATGTTAATTTGCCGGTTCTCTTCGAATTACCTCTTGTCTGCTGTCGTCTCGGCCAGTCTGGCGTTTATTTTGTTATAATGATCAATAAATGTGCCAGGGAGGTCCTAGAGCTTCGCGCCTGAATGCGCGCCAAGTGGCCCCGTGGCGCTTACCACTCCGTGTGCTTCGCTCCTGGCCTCAAAATTGGGGCTTTTATCAAAACTAGATTATCCGAGGAACATTTTAACTGCCAAATGAACGAACACATCGCTGTCTTTTGCTCAGGAATGCCCTTGATGCTGACCAGTAACGCGCTGGGGACAGTGGCTGTCTGGTCTCGGTCTAGATCAGGTAAACAGATATCCACTATTCCCTAGAAACAAGAGTCTTGTCCAGACAATTTGATTGGACTCCATAGTATGCACGTTCGCATGTTATCGCACCCTGACAGCGCCCGAGATCACTGGAACTTTGTTTGATGGTTCCCTGACGTGTACTTTAATTAATTGGAGTCCTTTGGCCTATCAAATTGCGCCACCAATTGGCCGTTGAGCAATGCTGGTTTGGGGCTTTCAAGGCTGATGGGCGCACAGACAAGAGTCTGGAATTGAATAATGTCAATTTGATCTCGGCAGAAGACACGCGAGGCAAGTTGTGGTGGAACATCGTGCAATCCAACTGACGGTGCAAAGCCATAATACGAACCGAGAGCAGTTTGGTTCGGGAATCAACAAGACACGTGTGAAGTTTCACTCGCCCAACAATATTGTGTGCTATTTTTGACACTTGACATTTACTGTTCCAGTTTTTCTCTTCATTTACTTACGCACTATCATCATCAGTATTATTTGTTTGGTATTAATTTCTAATTGCAAAATGTTCAGCATCATTTCACGTTGAAAATTATTCAATTTACAGCGCTAAATGTCCCCCCCCAAACCTGATTCGTCAAACCTGAACATTGCACGCATTCCCAGATCAGGCACACTTCACCGTGGACTGTACCCTACCGCCTGCCGTATTCATTATTGCTTCACTGTGTCCAAGCCTAAAATCTCTCATCTTCTTCTTTCGTTTCTTTCCCTGTTTTGCAGACGTTACGAGTCAATCAGAGAGAAGAATTCATCGCAGTACGCAGCGGTGCACTTGATCTGCGACGCTGACGTCACCGTCGCGTGCCCAATCACCCTCAACACAGGCTGACGGAGGCCGCTGACACGGCGCCTCAGTAGAATCACTTTCAAACGCGGCTTGCCTTGACCAAGACAACACGGCGGGAAACTGAAGTTTTGCATTGTAGAGGATCGGGACGCCCAGAGAGCCAATCGGTATCGACGACAGCACGTAGCCAATGCCCCTCTGCCTCCGTAAAGGGCCCGCCTGATAACCTCTGGACCAAGTCCTGCATTTCCTTAAGGAGTCGTGAAGTCTGAACTACCCGGCTGAAGTTTGCCGTGTGGCCCACGGACGAGAGTTTGTCGCGAGGAGCATGAATTCTGTGGCTGATTTCAAGTCCGACGAATGGTCGCTCCTGCTGTTGGTTAAGGACGCTGCGGCGAACTAAAAGTACCACCATGCTCCGAAAATTGTGTATGGATTAAAAAATGTCCTTCGCATCAATGCTGAGTAAAGGCGTCCAGGTCACTTAACAGCAAACTACTCGGCACTTGAAGCGTTATGACAAGGTGAGCCATTCGGAACAGGCTTTTGCAAGACCGAACTCGGGTCAATCGTCGATAAAAAAAACAGTCCAGTTTAGAACTAATCTTCAGGTTTAAAAGCGAGCTGTGGACATTTTGATCAATATATAATGGAGGTGAATTCAAGTCGTCCGGAGTACGCCATTCTTCGCGATGGCGGTTATCCCAACTCGACGGACTACGAGTCCAATAACTACACGGCAACGGCCGCCCCATACCGCACCTTCAACTACCCCTACATCCCTCCCGCTGTCCTGGCGGCCAAGGTGGTGTCCATCGCCTTGATCGTCTTTATCACCGTGGTGGGCAACAGCATCGTGATCGCCATCATCCTGTCCAACAAGCACATGCGGACCACCACCTACTTCTACCTGATGAACCTGGCGGTGGCCGATATCACCATCGCGATGATCTCGGAGTGGACGTGGCTGGCCAACCACCTGATGGATCGGTGGGTCTTCGGGGACGTCATGTGCAAGGCCTCTTTTCTCCTGCAAGGTGAGTGCGAGGAGGTTTCGTGCCCTTTTGCTCACAGCCTAGGGCGGATTCCACCCCCTAGAACTAAGCTAATTAAGTCGATGTTTGATTTCTTAAAACTTAAGGTGCATGTGGAGACATTCTTTATCAGTACCAGTGGGGAGTTTCGACTCAATCTGACATATGGTTTTGTTGCTGCGGTCATTCGAAGTTGAAGGCCAGACGCGTGCCAGCCCACGGGCATTGAACACGGCAGTAAAAAAATATATATTTTCGGCTGAAGTGTTTCGGAAATAAGGGTGCTGGGCGAGAATGGTACGTCCGATTTTCACACAATCAAAATGACGGCTAAGAGTTACTCCAAACTGCGCACTGTGGTGATACCGGAAAATGTCGAGGGCCAGGGGCGGATTCTAATCCTGGTTCTTTTAGGGTGACTTGCAGTGTGGGAAACATTACTTTGCTTGGTTGACATCGACACTGAATGTCACTGCGAAATGTGGGATTTTCCGGCCACTGAATAGCCCAGTAGCCCGTTACTTCTCAAAAAGCCGGGCTGGGTTGGACCATCTCGCAGCCGGCCGGGAGGGGGTGGTGGGATGGCAGATAACTTCAGGAACTCGGCTTTCAGGTGTCTTATCGCCTGGAAACGTGACTTGAGTGTAAAGAGACGCTTATCATCAATACGACTTTAACTCAATTTTAACTCAGATTTTAATTCAATAAGACGCACAGATTTCATGTCAGGGTCAGGGTCATACGATCAAACGTGTCGGCCCGCGTGCACTAAGCACGCAGTGAGAAAAAGTGTAGATTTTTGGCAGACGGGTCAAATACCGGAAAATTGCCCGTTGCGAAAGAACGGTGTATTCCATAGTCACAAAATTGGTGTCAAAATGACAGCAAAATGTTATTGAGAGAACTCTAAAGGCTCTGCGCGTTAAAAAGCATCCACTGCAACGATAATGGAGAAAATGTTGAGGGGAGCAGGCGGACTCCGCTTTGGCTCTTGCAGGGTGAAGTTCCTCACTCTAAAAACACCTGGGTCAGACTGACCCGGAATCTTGGTCCCATGTGGCCTGACCCCTTTCCGGGTCAAATTATGATCTGTTTTGGGTCATATCAGTCTGACCCACGTGTTTTTAGAGTGTATCCTCTCAGTTTAAGGGTGAACGCCACTCACTTGGAATTCATTTTTTCCTAGTATTTGGCTGCTTGGGAAAGTTGGATTCATATCACATATACTCTGTTGTCATCAGGGAAACATATGTTATTTATATGTGTGACGTCACTTCAGTTCAAACCACGCCCACTGTACATAGCGCCACATGGAACCATTGAACCAGGAGGTAACGCGCAGCTTGAGTGCTCATCCAATGGGAGCTTGCGTGCCGTTCATAACGAAGTCACTTACGTAGCTGATAGAGTTCAAGAAAGTGGAAGCGAGGTAGACTTAAATCCTTCTCAGCGACCACTCTCTGAGATGAAATTGTCACATTGAAGGGAAGGGGGAGGGGTTCATAAAAGAAAATTTAAAATTAAAAGAGAATTTAAGCTCATCAGAATTTATAGCACAAACTTTTCGATCGGGATGACACTTGCACTTCCATCGCACATTTTCTTGTCAGCATAATTTATGCGTGTGCCGGAGAGCAGCGATCATTATCTCTTCTACTCCTATATCACAGCCAACACCCAAAGTTACGCTCAGGTTTCGCTGTAGATTCCAAGCCTGAGCTATATAGAGACTTACTTAAAGAGGTTGGAAGATGCTATTGTGTCCTCGGTCGGAAACCTCGAGCATGGCCGATGCTTCCCTTTAGGTTAAAAAGAATAAAAGTATTACTTCAAACGTGGCACTGTGCCTCCTCGCAATGATATAAGATTATCCTTGAAAACATCTGAGGAATCTCGCCTGCCTTCGGAAGCGCCCACAAGACTCTGGGCTCGACAAGACCTCAGCCACACCGAGCCAGGTTGCGATAGCGATTCCCCCTGAGACAACATATGTCCTTTTGTCTTCGATGTTTCTTCGTGTAATCGCAGAATGAAGGATATAAGAAATCCTCGTCCAAAGCTTCAGGAGATCACCCTGCCAGGTTGATCAAACATTAGCTCGTAATAAGAATCGGCCTCGTTCACCGTAATCAATAGCCTCAGTGCTTAAAACCTCGTAAATATTTGTCGTGAGGGGAAGGGCGGCTGGCGATCCGAGAAAATACAGCCCGCCCGGCCAGCAGGCGTGCAATGGTCGACCCGGGGGGTCCAAAGCGGCTGGTGCGCAGCCGTTGTACTAGTGCCCGAACTGAGTGACGTATATTGGGTGTCTGGACTTGTAAGCGAAGAACTAATTGAAAGCTTAACAGAGAGAAATCTGGGCCACGGTTGAATGGCCTAACGCCTCGAAGTTTTTACAAACTCCGGTCGCTCAGTCTTAAATTGATGCTGGTGAGCCAGGAAAGATGGATCATTTGACAAAGTTCCCTGGAACGATTTCAAGGTACACAATCGTCATTTTGAATACGGGCGATTCACAATAGTGCGCTTCCAAGAGTTTGGTCCGCGTTGACCAATCAAAGAGCGCGAAATCTGTCGACCCAATAGCGCGTTTGGGAAGGGTCGACAGATTTTTTGCACTGTGATTGGTCAACGCGTTCCAAACTCTTGGGGGGCACTATTGTGAATCGCCCGTATTGCGCACGAATAAGGTGTCGAAGAGCCAATGTAAATCCTCAAAATGAAGAGACCAAGGTATGGAAAACAGTATGGGTTTTCAACTAAACCTCGGGTCACGTCTGATGGGCCTGCATCTCCAAAATCGACATCAGGGTCGATCAATTGATGAAACTCGAGAAATCATACTTCGTGACCTTGAAACCTTTCTTACGGTCGGCTGCCAATTCGCAACTTTTCGAATCAGTTAAAAAATCTCACAAGTTTTCTGGAAAATGCAAAGTAATGATCAAGGCAGATCGATTGCTGATCGATCTACCATTCAGAGATATGTAACCAAACCGAGGCTGGAAGGTAAAGACTGTTCCCTTTTATCAATATGTGAAGTTGTATAAATATTGCCATTGGGTCTGCAAGGAACAAGACCAACATAGCAGCATCACGATACAGGTCTTGGAGCTCCGCCCGAAGTACCATGTTCAAACCACTGGTAAGCGGTAGAACTGTGCCTTTCATGTTGATGTGAAGCCGTACAGTATTAAAGTACCGGTCCTTACAATTTTTAAACGTCCCAAAATTGAATGTTCAAAGAGAGGCTTTGGTTGTTGGCGTGGGTGTAAGAATTTTACGGCACACAGTCGCGTTTACGTAGGCCCTCAAACTTTCTGTATGTGCCCTGGTGCAATGTCTACTGTGCCTATCGGAAGATCCAACCTTTGTCTTTACCGATGACTGGCATTTGACTGTTTTATTTACTTCGTGTGCAGGTGTGTCGATCCAAGTCAGTATCCTGACATTGACGGTCGTGGCTGGTGACCGATACTTCGCCATCTTGCATCCGTTGAGGTCTCGAGTGATCAAGAGAAACGCTGGAATTATCATCGGTACTCTCTAAATCGGAAAGATTGAAATTAGGGACAAGACGCTTTAGAGTGAAAAATCACTCTGGCTTTAGACTGAAAATGGCTGAAAATAGCCCCTTCCGGTGGAAGCTCGAGTGAAATTTCAATCTTCTGGAGGGAAGAAATTTCACTCCAATTTGTCTGGTCCTTAATATCAATCGGAGGGATTGAATTTTCACTCGAATAGAGTGAATTTTCTCTCTTTGGAATTTAGAGAGTAAAAGACATAGTGCATTTCCGTAAAGCATTTTGACAGCGAAATGAGTAAGCGAAGATAACTTTAGTTTACAGATAAAGGTACTTTTGTGTGTAATAACTCCCCAATTGATACCTCAGAGAAAACATTCCCATAGACTTCTGCATGGTACTCTCTGACAAAAGGGTGAAAAACTCACTCACCATAACAGTGAAAAAACATTCTGAAAGAGTGAAAATTACTCCAAAGAGCCGTATAATGGGCAACTTTTTTCGAGTTTGCCTTTAATATGTCTCTTTGAAGGCGCTTATAAAGTCCTCTCATTTTAAGTGGTAAGAAGGGACTCACTCTTCTGGTGGGTTAGTTTTTCACTGTTTTGCATTTAGAGAATGCAAACTCCAAGACCTTGAACTGCACTAAAAAGACAAACCTACCACCCCCGAAAAAGCTTTGAAACTAAGTCTCCCTGTGACCCTGAATTATCAATTTGTCCGAGAAGAACGAAACAATTTGGTCCCAAATGGAGTACCAAAATATTAGAGAGACCTTTGAATGTCCCTAGTTGTCGAACGTCTCCCTACAAAGGTTTATTTTAGTCGCCGTAGGACATTAAGTTTAGTGTATAGCTTGTGGTATTAAACAGGTAATGGGCTACGAGCCGGACCAAGAGACGGCGCAGTTTTCCTAGCAACGGAGCCTCCTTTGGTAATAACTGCGCATCGGTAGTTCACAAACGACTATGAAAACCAAGCGTTGCAGTCGCATTGCTACCAACAAAATGGCTCTTTTCAACCAATAACGGGTTGCTTCTGCTCTGGTCGAATTGTGTATACCACTCTTGCGTAACGTTAACTTATTCTTGAAATAGCGGACTTTGAAGGAAATTTCGTTTAATTTGGTACATCAGTAAAAATCTGTAGACATTTGGAAACTTTCCATTTGGAAATCTCTGAAGGCTCATTTTTGGGAAGTTAAACGTTGATGTCTTCGACATTAAGATGTCCCCGTATGCATCTGGTTAGGCTGAATCATTTTTAAATATTTATTTATGTAAATATATGTTCATCCAGCAGCGCATTTAGCACCAATAACAGGATGAAGGAACAAGGTAAGAAGACAATGAAAAAATGTTCAGTTTTAAGGGTGCCAGAAAAAAACTGGAAAAATATTCCGGGAAAACCCATAGAACCAGGCAGGGACTGGAAAACCTAATCCACACGCTGACCTAGGTGGGATTCAAACCCGGGTCGCAGAGGTGAAAGGCGAGGAAAGAACCACCGACCTGACTCTAATTGGAGTGTACGGACTTCCTTCCACCAGGCGCTGTATGGCTGATCGCTTTCCTGATCAACATCCCCATGCTTCTCAACGTGAAGCACGCCACCCACACGTGGGACGACGGCCTGGATATGGCCTGGTGCATCGAGTACTGGGAAGGGGACGACATGGACTACCAGAAGCTCTTGCGGGCCGTCTACACCACGTTGCTTTTCGTGGCCGTCTACCTGCTGCCACTCTTCCTCATGTCGGTGACCTACACGCGGATCGGCTGCACGCTCAAGTCGCGCAGCACGCACGGGCCCGGCGTGAAAGTGGAGGCCACGGTGTCGACCCAGGAGCGTTCCAAACGGAAGGTGCGTGTCCGCGACCTTTTTATGTGTAGAGCTGTAGAGAGAAAGAGAGAGAGAGAGAGCGAGAGAGCGAGCGCATACAGCTTGTGTGTGCTAATTGTGCATGTGCACTGACTTATAATCCACCACGTTGATTCTGACAATTAAGACACTCATGTTACGGCCAGATAATAACGCTCAGACCTTTGCCCCAATTAGCCATGGGCGTGCGAGTGATTGCAGGTCGTAGCCACTAAATCAGAGGGGGTCGAACCTCGACTCCGTGGGCTGCGTGCGCGTTCCTTCACTAGTCCATGGTGGTGTACTGACTGACTGCTCAGGGTGAATATACACATCGACTACAGTCCTAATTAAAAAAATTAAATTTAACAATAGCAGGGGTTAAGATCGCATAAGGCATGGTGGGAACCAAACGTGGAGCGGCAAGATCGTACCCATGGGAACGAGGTAAGAGGAGGCCTAACTATGGGGCCAGTTTGTTTCACGCGGATCCGGATCGCGATCAGTGATCTGTCGTTGGTTCACTGACACCAGAACCCCCTCTAATGGATAGCACGAACCAGTTCTGGGATCAGTGATCGCGATCCACATACTCATCCGCAGAGGCGACGGTCATAATGTACCGTCGTGGCACCACACACTTAATGTGCGCGTGGCACATCACGTACATGTTCTTGAACTTAAGGCGCATGTGCATTGTTTGTAAGGCGCACCACACAACGGGACGAAGAGGCATATTTTTATTCGTGCGTCCGAAGTACATGTAGGCCTAGTTGGCTGCGTCTTACAAAGTAATTCGGACATTGCTTAAGTGGTGTGTTACCAAGGAGGTAATGACTTCTAGTTTTAATCGTCGGATTTTGCATCTGTGAGAGCGGGTATCGAACAGATGTTGTCAGTTTGCCACAACAATCACCAATGACACACATTCGCATGCCATAACGAAAGAAATCCTTTGCCGATCCTTTTCTCAAAATACACGTAGTTCATCCTGTAATTCTCCCACCCTTGTTTGTACAATTATTACACCTGCTCAGCAGTAGTTGAGCTGCCCTAGATCCATCTACTCGTTCTTGATGAAATGTTAGTCTGATCAGAGGAATGTTTAGGCTCATCAGATGAACAGAAGTCACATGATGCCCATGCAGGTATTCGATTAAGCATTTCGAAAAGCAGAGCTTCGTCAGAGAGATTTGGAAGTTTTGACGTCGGACTTTGAGACGCATGGTGGCGACAAACATGCCAGTCCTTTTTACCAGTCTGTTCTGAGTATGGGCGCGTTGTTCTGAGCAGGCGGACATAAACTTTGTTCCCATGGGCACGATCTTGCCTCCTACTATGGGTGCGTTCGATTAGCTTACACGTGTAAGTCAATCTTACACGAGAGCGTTCGTTTAGCCATCACGTGATGTTCGTGCCTGCCCAGGTGTCAGCCACCACTACCCCAGCTGGCGAGCGGGCCTCTGGAGGCTGCCCGAGTGTAATGACGTCACCGATGGACTGTTCGAGCATGGAAGTACATGATGGAACGAGGCGGGGACTTGACCTTTTTTCCCAGAATGCCTTGGAAAACACACTGCAGCGTTCGATAAGCCTCATTTTGAGGCTTCCCTTGAGTGTAACACTGGTGTGTTCAGGGAAGCTATTCGAATGCACCCAATGTTGGATATTTAAATTAGGACTTTAGTCAGCGTGTTTACGAGTGACGCATATGAACACGTGCGTGATGTGCAAGAGAATACGTGGGCGCGAGCGCACAGCTTTTGAAATACGCGCGCGACTGACTTAACGCTTAGAGAAATACCAAAGGCCTACGTAGCACCGTGATCAGAATATAGAAAAAAAAGAATATATAATCAATGCTCTAAATTATGTAATTCAGGACACAGATTATATATAACATGTTTGACTTTATTTTTATATACATTAATATTCATCCTGAATAGCCAGCGTCATTTTCCTATTTTTCACGATCCAAAGGGGCTAGTGCAGGAACACCCACGCAGCTCGTCCGGTTCGCAAGTGTGACGTCACTTGAGTTTAAAAAACTCCCACTGCACATGCACTGCACATAGAGTTACATACATTGATAGCCGTTTACATGGAACCGGAAGTTGACGCACAACTTCAGCGATCGTCCCTTGGAAATCTGCAAATCGTGGCGCGTCCGCCTTTGGGCGGACATAGTAGAGATCACAAAAAGCTTATATCCGCCCAAAGCTGAAGTGCACCCCCAAACGGCGAAAGATAGACAGGCGATTACAAGCGGGTTCTTGCACGCGTTCTGCGTGTACGCAAAGATCATACATTGCGGAATAAATTATTTACGCATACCCAGCGTGCTCTGCGTCAGACACACATATATACTTGCGCGCCTCATTGCACGTCTGTATGGTTAGTACCCCCAAAAAACACGTTCCACTCGGAGCGGATAGTATGGTGAAGAGCAAAGATAGTATAGCGCCGCGCAGCTAGCTGTCTTTGGTGAAGAAGGACCACGACCGGTATGTCTGCTGCCACCAGCGTCTAAAAGTCTCCCGTTGAAAAATGTCTCCATCCGTCGTGCCACCACGAAGTATACGTAGGTTTGACGACTTGGTGCAAGATTGATCAAACGAGGAGTCTGTAACACTGGCTTTTGTGTGTGAATAATTTAAATTGCAGGTTATTAAAATGCTGGCGGTGGTTGTGAGCATATTTGCAGTGTGTTGGCTGCCCTACCACATCCTTAATCTCGTCCAGGATTGGTCTGCTAACGTTGTAAGTTGCAAATTACGTGATCACAATGTAAGCCAATCAGAGTCACGAGTTGTCTTTCTCTAATACCAGGCGTGATAAAGGGCTTTTGTCTCAGACAAAAAAAAAGAAAAACGGATTTGTTTGCGCGTAAGATACATTTTTTAATTAAACAAAAAAATAAAGAAGTAGCGACGTAAACAACGTCTTCATATTTGCATTTTATTAAAAAGAAGAGAACTCATAAACAAAACCATAAACAACAACACCTTTCACAACCAACTAACTCCAGATGCATATCATCATTTTAGGAGGCACAAAACATCCCCAAGGACCTGTGGTTCATCTGTACCTGGTTAGGCTACGCCAACAGCGCCATGAACCCCTTCGTCTACTGCGGCTTCAACGAGAACTTTCGGCGGGGGTTCGTGGACGCCTTCACGGGGCGGTGGTGTGCCGGCAAGAAGCGGCAGGTAAGACGGGCACCCCCTTCAAACCGCCTCCAAGGAACCAAACACTCGGTTGATAAGTGGTTAGGCTTTGCTTGCCTCGTTTGCGTATGTTTCTCAAAAATTTTCAGAGGACGGTTTGATTTGCTGAAAAATTGCGATACTAGGCCCTAATGACGAAGGAGAACAGGGAAGCGGCAAAGTGGGTCTGATAAGGACAGTTAAAGTTCCCAGAAATCCAGAACGAGGAGAGGAAGATTTTGAGACTTCCTCGACGACGGCCGGAGCAAGGCTGCTCGAAACGTCGAGTCACCACCTCCGGTTCTCATCAAAACCACTTATTCCATTTGCCTGATATTTTAGCAAATTGGATACTTTGGTCAGGAAGCCCTACCAAAGTGAAATTGGGGGGAAACCTTGTGGAGATTGGTATATATAGCTGGACTTCATTAACCATTGACAAATTTATTTAAGTTGTCAACTACACGTATCTTATGACGTCCAGTATTCTTCAACTAAAAGTAATGACAAACTGCGACAAAACCTGAAACAAAAATCAAGGAAAATAAAAAAAAGTTTAACCACTGACAAACTTTGGTACAGTTCCACATTAACAGACGTTGACCGACCAACTGAGCTATCAAGCGACAAACCAACTCAACAACGATCAAAACGAAGTCGGGCGTCATTTCAGTGAGCTCATTATAATGTTGGTCCGGAACTTGCATCCCTCAGAAGCTGGGAAAGGGCCATTTGCAACTATGACCGAAGTTATTGTTGCCTTTGTCTTTGTCCAGGAAGACGAGGCTCCCAATCGCCCCTTTAGTACAGGCTGTAGTTATTAAGCTATGCTCGTTCAAATGTCTCCTTGTGTTGTAGATGGTGAAGTGCGGAAAAATGGCTACGGTGAGTCAGGGAGAGATATACTGGCCCTGTTTTGCCGGTTTGTTCTGGTGTGAATTCACCTTTGTTTTCCGTGTTTTTCAACTGCCGTGTTTGCCTTTTCGTACTGACCCCGGGTTCTCGTTGTGATGCTTGGGGTCTTCCCTTAATCGCTCGCCTAAAGTTTGTGACAGACTCTTTCCTTTCATTCAAATGATTACGGCATGGTGTTGCTTTTCATTGCTTTTTCCGCTCTTTTCTCTTGCTGTTCACTCCCTTTCCATTCAGATTATGTCGTTCCAATTACATAAGTACGACTTTATGGGGTACTAAGTGTACCTAAATATACCTTGTTCACATGTACCTGTCTCTCCACGGTAATTGTTTCAGGCTGCCTAGTCGCACTAACAATGGTGCTGAAACGAACAGAATTGCGCCAATAAGCACATCAGGTCAATGGACGACCAGCCACAGTGCTTGTCATGTGGGTGGAGTGGACCAGGGTCCTCCCAGTCTCGTCTCACAAGGACACTTCACAATCTATTTGCATACAGAGCCGCATGGCGAGAGAATTGTGACAGCTCTGGATTAGAAGCCATTTTAGTTCCAAAGCCCGCAAGGGTTTTTCTACATGGAACAACCTATCACGTCCACCTTGATTTACTGGCACTTTGGGATCAATTATTGATGTAACCCCAGTACTCACCAAAACAAAATGGCATCTTACGTATGTCAGACGGGAACTCGATTCGCAAATTTCTGACGGCTTATTCGACCAGTCTTGTAGTGATTTGACTTATACTAATGCCGCATGCAGTATGTTTCTTCTTTATGTACTGAAAGTTTTGCACCTCCAAAACCAACTAATCGTCTGTTGGCTGTCTTTGTACTTAAAATTCCTTGTCGTTTTGAATTTGCCCCTTTCAAAACTTCAGTAGTGCACCTAATAGGAGATTTATGAGACACTCTCACCAGTTGTGCGCAGGCTCGCTTTGCTCAGAATTACTCGCGCATGCGCAGATGTGGCAAAGGAGCAGATCGTGTCTGCTGCCACCGGCGTCTCAAAAGTCTCCTATTCCCTTGTAAAACTGCCACCATCATTAACATAAAGAAAACGCAATGGGTTCAAGCCCCACAAAAGCAAATCGGTAAAGCGGAACTCGGTACGGAGGTTTCAGGTTCCAAAAGCTCACCAACATCTTTGTAAATAGTAATTCCAACTATCTATACATAGATACATTCACCACGCCACATTTTCCCCACAGGTAGCCTTTTATTCATGTTATCCACTTTGGAAACATTACAGAGGCCTTCAACTCCCACCACGGTGTCCTCTAGATTTAACATTAACGGATTTGAACCATGTTCCCAAATTGCTCGGAACATTACACAGAACTCTTTAAACTGAAGCTTTCAAGGCGCCATACGTCCAACGAGAAAACCTCATGTTGCGTTCGATATTCTGCTTTTTTGAAACTCAATTGATTTACACATTGTTTTGGTTTTGACCGATTTTTTTGCAAGAAAAAGTTCATTAATTGGTTTTCCTGGTTCACGGTGGTAAGCTTTACAAATAGCTGTGAAATGGTTTAACCGGTTTTAAATGGTGTGTACTTTTTCTTGACACTGTTGTTATGGGGGAGAATTTCTTACTAATTACTGACGTTAACAGTCGAAGCCGTTTCTGACCAATGTTTCCTCAATGGCTGTCACGGTTATCATACATCTTTGATCTTGCAGGTCAAGCCGAACAAGTCCGTCTGTTCGTCACAGGTGACAGAGGGCACTGTTGTCGAGAGCACGAGCATGCTTTGATGAAACACGCACCAAACCAAACCGATCGTTCGAACTGCGCAAGACTGTTCGTCAGTCGGACTTGAGTTTTAGACTGGATGGGCTTCTTTCCTTTGTTCGCTGGAGCTATTGGAGGATGTTCGCTGACAACCTATGCCTACCTTGGACATTTGAGGTAGTTTGGCCCGGCCAGTCAGGCTGTATTGCGTCCCATACCTGAAGGGCGGTCAAAATGTTATGATGAGTTACATTTTAATTAGCAAGTGTATGCCGCCTTTTGTCGGATTGTGTGAGCCACGGCACGCCTGTGCACGTGCATACACTGTATTTGGTTTTTAGTGATGTGTGCCTGGCATTGCTCCTACTTACACGAATTCTAATGTCCTTTGAAACACATTACCGTCTGTCACGAGGCTATGGGCTCCGAGCTGGACCAAGAGAGGGTTCAATTTTCCTTGCAACGGAGGCTCCTTTGGTAGTAACTGCGCATCGCTGGTTCACGAACAACTATGAAACGCAAGCGTTGCAGTCGCATCGCTTCCCACAAAATGAACGCTCCCAACCTATGTGGGTCGTTTCAGTGCTTCTGCTCGGGGCGGATAAGAACAGGTCGTTCACCTCACGTTTGCCCAGTGTATCAATTGGACGCAATAAACAGAATCTTGACCACCGATCCAAGATGCCAAACATACCTCATTCAAAATGATTCCATACTTGCGAATATGACGGCAGAAGGCTTCACTAGGCTCGAGAATACAATAATTCGTTCCTGCACTAAAACTGTAATTCTGCTTTTTCAAAATTTTACGATGAAATTGTCTTCTTTTATCACTAGAAACCACTTCCTCGTCCCTTTTATTGACGAATGCAGAACAGTTTCAGGCCCGGCAGTAAAATTGTTCTTGTTACTCTTCGTTTTAAATTTATTGTCTGGGCTGACATTAATTAGAAATCGAATGTCCCCAGCAAGAATATTTGTGATTGTCGTTTAATCGTTAATCTATTAGTATACTATTATCCTGCATTATAGTGTAGACATTCTTTTTGTTTAAAGCAGAATTATTGTATTATATACTGTTGTGCGTTGCACAGTGCAATGCTTGAGGCGTACCTAGTCCATACAAGATAATTCTAAATACGGACAATTCACAAAAGTGCGCCTCCAAGAGTGTGCAACGCGTTGGCCAATCACAATCTGTCAACCCTTTCCTTCCCTTTCTGCGTATAATGATTGGCAGGTGTGTTGCAAACTCTTGGAGGCGCACTTTTGTGAAACGCCCATATTGGATAATAAATTATACAGCAGTCTTACTGAAGTAAGGTAGGGGAGCCTGTATCTCCCATTATGCACTATATTTCGCTTCTTCCTAGACAAACAAGCGTTTAAAGTAAAAAAAAAAAGTAGGCGAACAACACAAACAGTTGCAGTTAATAAGAATCGCAAGGCTGTCGGCTAAAAAAAAACAACAAAAACAATAACAGACAAACCGACTGGGCGCACATTCAGTCTCTCTAAATTCAAAAGAGTGAAAAGTCTCAAGAAGAGTGAGTCCCTCTTGAGTCCAGCCCAAAAGAGAGCAAACCGCTCTAAACGAGTGAAAACCGCTCGAAAAGAGTTAAAACCTCTCTAAGAGAGGAGCCATTTAAAGGACAACTCTTTTTCAAGTTGTCCTTTGGATGGCTCCTTGGCAGAGTGGAAATTTCCACTCTTCTTGAGTGGTTTTCACCCTTTTTAGAGTGGTTTCACTCTTAAGGGGTGTTTTTATAAGGGATCCACTCTTTTTGAGCAAGATCCTTTTGGCGTATCGCTGCGTTGGCGCATGTATCACTCTCATTCAAAAGTTAAGCACGCACCGTTAGCTTAAAGGTTTGTATGACTGTTTGGAATGACACATGCTATTTTAATTCAATCTCTGACTGATCACCGTCGAGAGTATCTCGGCTTAATACGGGCGTTCGATTCACAGTTGTGCGCCTCCAAGAGTTTGCGAGGTGTTGGCCAATCACAACGCGCGAAATCTGTCCACCATTTCCCTCAAGACGTGCATTGGGTCTACAGATTTCGGGCATTGTGACTGGCCAGTGCTATGCAAACTCTTGGAGGGCGCACTGTTGACGGCGAGGACAGGTCCGGGTGCTAAAAGTAAGTCTTCTAACAGAAATGGTGCCGTCAAACACAGCCTCACAGTGCATTGCTTTATATCGATTTTGCGGTCAGTAAATTTCATGGGAGTATCTGAAGCACTTGATTTTGACGTTATAGGCCTCTTAAACTAGATGAGAGTGGCTGAAACAGGTTGACTGCGTGAAAAGAAATGTCATAAAACTCTTCTTGCTAAAGATGAGTTCAGTTTCAAAAGTACATGTATGTATATCGTGTATTGTATCGGTTTTGAAAGTTCGCAGGGCTCAAAGGGCATATTGTATAGCGATGTGATTCATAAACGAGGCTGATTCTCCGTCGAAAATATTGCTACTTCCCAAGTGCAAATACTTCGATTTTGAGGTAAATTGTGTCGACATCAGATGCTCTCACATCACTGTTCGCTTTTAATTTTCCTGTAAATATTTAGACCCACGTATACAGTGGTTCCTATCTAACAATTGACAGACAAAATTCGTTTTGAGACATGAAACACCAACAGAAAATTTCCGAACCAAAAAGTTGAGATTGTAACAAATTCTGTCCTAGCTGAATTGTCCTCAGTATTTATTTTGCCTTTCAGTAAATCAATTCTACGTAAATAAATAGTACATTTTGTTCTTAGACATAATGGATTTATCATGCTTCACTTTTTGATGTCGACGTTGAACAATTCTGTTTTTGTTTATCGGTACGTCTTTTCACCTGCTGTTTTTTAATTTCATTATGCATAGTAAAGGCCGGCACGTGCCACAGGTGAAAGCAAAGAAGAGAATTCGACAACACCAAACGTCTGCCGCAAAATCTGGTGTGACATAAAATCGCGTTGACGTTTCTTTCGTGCGGCTTGTCTGAACCGCCTTCGGCACGAAATTATTTCCGCCGAACGTATAGCCCAACCGAAATAACTGCCGTATTCCGCGTTCGTAGTTTTATTTACCATAAATCTTGCAGAGAGCAGAATAGAAGGATCATCAGCTTTGTGTTAAAATTCTGAATGTAAAGTTCTGTTCATATTTCAGCGCAGAATGCAAAAGCGAAGCGAATTTGACGTCAGGAAAATTTGCGCCGATATGTCGCTGGAATCGAAGTGTTTTCAACCATTGCGAATTCGTAGCGCAAATGTGACGACACAAATTCAACTTCGTGTTTGTTTTCGCGCCGACAGTATGAACCGCTATTTAGATGTGCAGGATTTTTTTTCATAATTGCCCCCGTATTGTTGGTAAATAGTGCAACAAGAAAGATCAAATTAATAACAGTATTCCTATACGATTATAAACTAAAGAATCAGCTCTTTACAGACGAGTTTGCAACGCGTTGCCCAATCACAGTGAGCGTCATCTGTCGACGCAATGCGCGTTTGGAAAGGGTCGACAAAGTTTGCGCACTGCGATTGGTCGACTTCTGCGTTGCAAACTCTTGGAGGCGCACTGTACGTAGTGAATCGCTCGAATTGCTTTCAGTTGTACCACATGTAATGCAATCACATCATCACACGTTTCTACACAATGTATATTGACGTGTTTGTGGATTTGCCATGTTTATGATGGCGCTTCGTTCTTATACATTCAGTTCACGATGAGATTGCTCGCTTGAACCAGAAGTGTAAATATTAAAGAGATATATCTAAAGGAAGCAAAAGTCCCTCTTATTCTCTTTCTGTCGCGTTTGTCAGTGCGGAATATGTGAACAAATTGTAAAACTATTTTGAAGTGTCTCTACGGGGCGGGTCAAAGGTAGAGAAAAACAAACATGGCGTATTGAATTTGACTCCTTCACTAGGAAGAGTGTATCCGTACAGAGACATGCCATCCCACTCTATGGGGGAGGACTTGGATCAGTTTTTGTTTGTAACCGCCCCTAACGATCCTCCTGTGGAATGATGTGCCCAAAACGTTGGGGGTGGGACATTGGGATTAGAAGACTTGAAATAGCTTGACCACTGTGGGCGCTGTACTAATCTTTGAGCATTCTCTCACTCGGTGGCGTGTCCAGGTCTTGGGACGTCCAAGTGGGGGAAATGGATTTTTATCTACAATTAGCTGTCCAACCTTTTCTTCTGACCCTAACAAAAAGTGGTAGTGTCGTTTCAAAAATGTCTTTTCAGTCCCTAAACCAAACAGAGAAAATATCGAAATAAAAATGACAATATGTCCGGGGGGGCAACTGACCCCCGCCCCCAGATGTATTCACTCCATTAGAGGTGGCTTTCGCCACTGAACGACACAGACTGACAGGCAAACAGAGCACACTGTCCGAAACGTCGAGTGAACTCTAGTTCTCAGAACCACACACACTCACAAAAGACAAATATGTCCTCATGGTGTCACCGCAAACTTGTCCATAGTTAGTACCTCCACCATGCATAGCCTCAAGTCTCAGTGCAATGAACGATAAGTTTTGAGGGTGATGATGATGAGAGAAGCCGGTGTCTTCTCATTCCTCAAGAAGCAAAACACATAAACAACCATTGAGCATTAGGCCCAAGGAGTTTCATGTCAAACTCTGACTCCCTCCAAACGTAGGCTTACAGATTAAACTTGGTTAAAGGTTTTGCCTGGGGGGGGGGTAATCCAAGAAAGTTGAAGGTCGTAAGTCTCATCCACCAGGGTTTATTGAGGTTTGTACAGGGCTGTTAGGGATTTGTCAGGTACCAAGATGTGCTGGGCATTTCTACTTGAGTGTGTGAATACACGTAGTTCAATGGCTTTGATATGGGCGGGAATAGAGTAGTCAAGGATGGGGGATGCAGAGACGCGCCGGTGCGATGGCAGAATCGTGAAAAATTAAAAGCCAAGTTGGGATGCCGGTGGAATCAAAATTGGAGCGGCAAATGGATTATAAACGCAAACCCGGGACGGTGAAAATGAATCATGAATTAAAAAAAAACAAAGAAAGAACAAAGGATGGTGAAAATACCAGACAGTGTTTTGTTGGCCGGGAATTTGTGTAATTTAATATAAACAGGATAAACTCTGCCTTCAACGGGCTACAACCAAACCCTGTGTCGATACGAGCCTGTTGGCGGAAGGCACCCCCTCATCGGTTGAAAAGAGCCATGTTGGGTCGGGGGGGTGTTCTTTTTCAAGTCGTTGAAAGCAACGCGACCAAACGAGCCGCTTTTGGTGAAAAAATTGTACCCTCTCTTGGTCTACTGAAATGGCTCTTGTGGCCCTCTGGGCAGGAAGTCAAGTAATCATGGAAAACTATCTGGAAGTTTCCGCCTCAGGCTGGCCATCTTCAGCAATAAGGGAATCTATCTCAGAACGGAAAACGTAACTGAAAATATGCCCCTTTTATTTAGCTGCCTGCGCAAGTAAACATCGATTTGCTTCATCGCCTTCTTGACCTTAAAGCTGTCAAATATAATAGAAGAAAAAAGAGGAAAGTCATACTGGCGTCATACTAGGTCACTCTCCCAGCTGAAATGAATCATTTTTTGTTGTGGTGCCAAATGGAATGTTTTTCCCAAAATGACTCTCCACACTTTTCATCAGTAAAAGAATCCTCATTACTTCCCAAAACAGAATTAAGATAAGTGGTAGTACACTGTTTCTATAATGTTGGCGTTTTAAAAAGAAAATATATAATTTTTCATGGCGACCCTTGTCTGTTTGCGAATTGCCAACTCATTCGGAATAGTGCTAGTGGGCTTCTTCCACGTTTTGGCCTAAAATTAATTTGAATATTAAATAAGTACGTCACTACACCAAAGATGTGCAAAATGCTTTTACCCATCATGCAATGTGCGCAATCTGCATATCGCGTATCGCGCATGATCAGTATATGTTTCGTTTGTACAGACCGCCGACATTCGTGACAATGGCTTTTCCGCGAGTGGCAGAGGCACGATGTGTCTAATTCCAAACAATATTTTCGCTTTCTCGACGACAAATCACCATTCCAAGCGGTAGACTCTATCACGAGCGAGTGCTTTTACTGCAGCAGGGAAAACTTCGGACAGTAATGGGTAAGCTTGTGCAAATTGTTTGCTTCGTAAGAGTGTTGCCCAAATTCCGGACAAATGTTGTGAAGTCGTGATTGTCACATGAACAGGCCCGGGGCTCAACGTGATGAATAAAAAAGGAAAGTACATGTAGGCCTTCGTGCTTTTTTAGGGCCCAGAGATCGAGCCGACCTTGGAGAAGTAGATTAGGCCCAGCGCCCAGTGGTTATTCATTTGGTTACATTGGACATGTCATGTATGTATGCTGGTTATAGTTGGACTACTTACTTGGACGATGAGTTTTAAAAATGTTGATTTCAATTTCTTCCTCCGTGTTTCAATTTGCACCACCACCTGATCACATAACGTTACACTGCTGCTACACTGTATCATTGTTTAAACTTTGATTGTTCGGCTGTCAAGTGTTGTGACTATACATAATCATTAACAGGCCAAGGGCTTCAGGCTTAGATAGACATGACCACCATGATGACCACCCTATCTGTCCCGACAGGCATGATGGTAGGCCTTGGTTTGAGTCAACTCGGACCCAAACCAACTCGGACCCATGCCAACTTGGACCCGCGACCAACTCGGACCCATGCCAACTCGGACCCAATACTAACCCGGACCCACAACCAACTCGGACCCAAAACTAACTCGGACCTATGATCAACTCTGCTCTGACCCACCCCGAGTCAACTCGGACCCAACCCCAGGAGCGTGATACTTGTTGAAAATTGATTTTGTCTACTTTTACATTTTAGCATTTGGTAAATGACATTTTTCACTGCATGCTGCCGAGATGTAACATCTTCTTGAATAAACGTAATGCAGGGAAACTGGCACAGGCTTCCCAGAATTTCTCAGTTTTTGAGTTTGAACAAGCATGGTGGTTGAAAAAACGTACAGGACTAGATTTGATATCAGTGATGTCTTGAAACAAGTGAAAAAGTAACCGACAAGCGTCGTATTTTTATGGATGTCTTATTTTCCGCGTGTAATCTGGAATCTTAATCAGCTGTTAGCTTCCGAGGTACCGCCGTGATTGACCACAAAGACTGATTTTGTCACCTTCCATTCTTGAAACCCTATGATCGGGTAGTGGGAGCTTGGGACAAAAAAAGGGAGCAGCTTTTGGAGAGTGATTGACAGTACCAAATCATTGATGCCCTTTCTCCGAAGTTTTTTTGGCACTCCAGATCACCAGCAGAAATCGAATGAACTTTCACCAAACAACCCCTAAAGTCTTTGTTGCAATAAAAAGCCACAGATAGGCCTTTTGATGTACATAAGAGATGCTGCATGTGTACAACACATTTCTGCAGATATACATCAGTATCAAGAATATTGACCTTTCATAGTGTCTCATGGTGTTATCCCCCACCTCACTTTTCAAATTTTTTTGGCCTGGCAAGTCTTACACCTCCACCTTGTCCCAGTCCTTCCCCCGAATACCGGCAAAATTTAGGCAGATGGAGGAATTCATCCATATAGGCCTAAACTGACTGTCCAAATAACGCAAATAGGTTGGTAATTTCGAACAACACAAGTCAAATCATTTTAAAATAAAAATGTGGAATACATGTATTTCCAATTGTCTTAAACTTCGAGACGGTTTTGAAGCGTCGTACATGTATGTCTGCTCGCGAACTCATTATTAATATTTTGTGATCCCTCTTTTTTTTTACAATAAGACGTGCCATAATCACGAGGGATCATAGAATTATTTATAGAAAACCTGTATTTGGGGTTGATACTTTCCAGTTCAGAGTATTTCTTTCACAAAAAGCCCCACATTACGGGCCTATTTTCGATAGAGGCGGGCGGCTACATTAAGAGCTGAGCCCATAGTTTTACTACTGTTAAGGGGGTATCTTTGGGAAAAGGCGACTAAAAAAAATTCATAAAATTTAAACAACAAGTGATCAATCTGGCCATAATTTGAATTTCCAGCAAAAAAATAATCTTGAATTTCCAGCGAAAAAAATGAAGGCGAACCTCTTCACGAGGTTCAAAAGTCGGCGCTATTTCGGTCAAGGGCACGTATTTGGTGTTGTGCAACCATAAGATTCAGTGGGTCCGAGTTGACTTGAGGTGGGTCCGAGTTGACTTGAGGTGGGTCCGAGTTGGTTGTTGGTCCGAGATGGTCGTGGGTCCTAGTTTGTATTGGGTCCGAGTTGGCGTGGGTCGGAGTTAGCATGGGTCTGAGTTGGAATGGGTCCGAGTTGGTTTGGGTACGAGTTGACCTAATCCCGGCCTAACATTAACTTAACGTTAATGACCACCATCAATCTTTTAAGTTTAGTACACTTCCAACTTTTTCTGTACATTGTGAAGTTTGTGTAGCTGTGTATCTGGCTAATATTGGGTCTAGGCTACACTTTCATTGCATTTGCAGCCTTGGCAATTGTTGTTGCTTTTGTTAGTTTTCAAAATCATGTTGTGGAGGATGCAGTTGAAGGCAGAGGGAAAGTGTAAAATTTTTCCCGAAAGAGTTCCATATTTTAATGCACTTGAGGTCCTGCGCACAAACCTACCAGGTATGGGACTTGTCTGAAAAAACCTAAGTGTTTTCTAAGTAAATGCTTCAGAATGTTTCTTAAGCTAAATTTCACTTTTTAGGACATCTTAACACTTTCTGACGGCTGTTATAACATTCTAAGGTAAAATAGTGTTGTCCATGTATGGAACTCTTTCCATTTTTGGCAGTTGGAACTTAAGAACATGAATTCTCTGTGGTAGGTCCTTAATTAACATAGGCCTAACAGGAGACAAAACCCTGTATTGCTAATGCCGCGTGGACATGGTGGGTGGTCTTGCACAATGTTAACAATAGAAAGGTGGGAAGCAGGCCTCAACATTAATTTTTTAGCTACTTATCCATCGGGCAAGTAGCACTGAAAATTTACTTGCCCGAGATAAGATTTTACTTGTCCTAACCTTCGGCGTTCATTCATTTGCCATCCGGATATCTTAGCACGGCGGATGAATGAGACCATTACACTGGACATCATTGCTTCCCGAGACAGGTTGTAGGTCAACTCGACCGTTTACCAACTCAACTCCTGACCAACTCGACCGTTGAACCAACTCGTCTGTTGACCTACTCGACTTCAAAGTCAAGTCAACTTGACCATTTACCAACTCAATGAACCCACAAAATCAACTGAAATGCAATCAATAAATGAACTTGTGCCAATGAGATACTCCAAAACAGTTGTTCCAATTTGAGAAGAAGCACGCACAAACCCCGAAATCTGTCACCACACTGTGCACATGCACAGATCACATCACACACAGTAAAACGGAATACACGCACGATCCAGAACCAGGAAAAATATGTTCCTTCTATGCCCTGTCCCTGTGGTGCCGTTTGCATGGTCGAGTTGGTCGAGAGTGGAATTGACCTTTACAGTTGAAGGAACAACAGTCGAGTTGGTAAACTGACCTGACACCCTCGGACAGTTAGTTCCTTCCTTCAACCAGTCACCATTGACAAAATTGCTTACGCCAACAATACGACATGAATATACATCACATTGTGTGTATGCAGAGAGTGTGCAGGACTCAGATGCATCATTCGTACAAGTTTGGGCTGTGGCTATTTCTCGGTCACTCGACGAGTTTGCAAAAAGTACACACTGAAGTACCAGGCAAAATTCACTAATGTTGAAGTCAGAGCTACACGTACATGTAAAACAGTCCTCGAGCTTCCAGCCATCAAAGCTCCGCTGCACGGCGCATGCACTACCCAATGAAGTTTGGTACCCAGACACAAGGGTAGTTTACAGTTTATTTGTGTACATTGTACATATTTTCCCTTGTGTGGAAAGGTGCCCTGCTAAATGTACAGCGTGCTTTATACATGCAAGTTTGTACATGATGCAAAAAATCATTGAACACCACATACCAGTATATGTATACTTTTTTCCTCTTCGCAAGTGAAAAAACAAAGGTACATTTGCTGACCGCTATTCTTGGCTACGAAAAACGGACACTATTATTTCAAGAAAAAAGTACCAATCCATCGGGTAATTTGTCCTTAGGTTTTACTTGCTTGCAAGAAAGAATTACTTGTCGTAGACAGTCGGACAACCATTAATGTCGAGGCTTGGTGGGAAGGGAAAAGAGACAGCCATTTCCCACAGTTCACTTGTAACATATTTCAGAGTCATCCATTTCAGAGTCATCCATGCGGTATAACTTGCTTGCAACAAGGCTCATGCATGGTTCTGGGAGAAGTACATGTAACATTTTGGAAAGAGTTCGGTACACGGACATCTCTGATTTCTTTCCCTGCAGTGGTTTATTGTCATTGGGAAGCGATATCTTTTCTCAAAAAGTCAAAGCGGGGGTCTTATTTGGGTTCGTACATTAGAGTGTCAAGTGATGTCTCCCGTTCAGGGTGAAATGACCGCACAGACCCTGTGTTTTTCTATCCATCAGTTGCCATCTGATCTGCCGTCTCTTGACTCCATCATCAGCACAGAAAGCATGGCACATTTTGGACCTACAGCTCGTAAGGACCCCCCCTGGTCTCAGCTGGGAGCCCCCGGCATGGGTAAGTACGGTGCCTTTGCTCGGATACTGAGACCAGATTGCCCAAATGTATGGGAGCAGTTTCTTCAAGGGATAGATCTGACTAGTTTATGGGACATGTGGCCTAGAATTTTTGTTTGTAGCTTCCGATCATGGGGTTGGAGTTGGAATCCTCACAGGCGGTTACATGTACGTGTTGTGACCTTGGGAAAGTCACTTTACCCCTTGTCCTTGAACCCCTCTTTGCTACATGTATGACGGCAAATTCAAAATTTGTGAGTCAGCAATGACCAAATGTCCAGAAGTCCATGATGTGAGAATGTTATGACCCAACAATAGCATCAGTCTGTGGTCCTAACCATGGTGCTGCAGTTAGTTGGTAAATTTCTTAACCCTTTTGAAGTTTATGCAGCTCACAGCTGACAGAATTTATCCCCCAAATGCCACCCAGGCGTTTCATCCACAGTGCTAAGAAAAGTTAGATTCTACAAGCACATGTGGCCGATATAAATGAAATGATGTTGGCAAATGCCCTGGCATACACTGGCACGCAGTTGGGCCAGCCCTACTGCCACATAAGAGTTGAGATGCTGCCGCATAAGAGATGAGATGCTCCCAGTACTTGGGGACAGGTGCTATGGTTTGGGGATAGCAAGAACAGAACACTTAGTTTGTCATCACGTCTCTCTTCATGATTTCACTGCAGGCCAGGCGGTCATGTCAGCCCAGGGACCAGCCCTCATCAGCAACCCGCAGGCAGCAGCGCCGGCCGGTGTTTACAGCCAGCTCGGCGGGCCAGGGGTGCAGCAGAGCATATCACAGGCCAGCGCCTACCAGATCCAACAGCAGCAACAACAACAGCAACAACAGCAGCAGCAGCAACAGCAACAACAGCAGCTGCTCGCCCAGCAGCAACAGATCCAAGTCAACCAGGTGAGTCACCTATCCGCTCTGAGCGAGAACAGAAGAGGGCGTGTTTTGCATTGAAATTGGCAGTCCTTTGGTACGAGCTCACCTGTATAGGCGCACAAGTTCATGCACTTCGAGTACGCGCATCGAATTTATGCTTGAATGTATGATCTTTTTTTCACCGTTGAGGGTGCACTTTAACCCCTTCACGGCGGGATTCTTTTGACCGCGACTGCTGGACTGTGGTTTGCCCAGTATGCAAAGCCCTATCCAGCAGCAGACCCACATTGACACGGCAGGTGCATGATGAATAGAATGTATGTGTGGTATGCACTATTCCTCACACTCGGCCTCTGCGTTTGCCCTCTCCTGACACAAAGGAGTTAACTCGGGGTGGATTAGAGCTCTGTTTTTCTATAAATTCCGGGTCGGAAGCGTGACATTTTTCTGAGCCTGTTACACCGGACCTGTGTAATTTGACTATGGACACATCATTGACATGGATTTCCAGCTAGTTTTATTTGACTGGTAGGTAATTTACATTATTTACTTTTTGAAATTAAAGAACGCGTTCCATACCTACAAAATCATACGCGAGAGGTTACATGGAGAGGAAAAAAAATGGACCCCAAATTTATGGAATGACCCTTGAGCAACTTGTAAGTTGACATCCTGCCAGATTATAGCCGGCTTTTCAAGCTACATTTAACTTTAATATCGATTACCTCACTAGAGGCTACAGTCATGGTGATTTTTAAGCTTAAAGAACACCTCCAAGAAAAAAAAGTTTTCTTTGATTTTATCTGTTCAAATAAATATGGAAGCATCCAAATCGAGCGCAGTGTCATTTGTCTTCAGAACTCAACTATAACAAGCTTAAAAGGGCGTTTTTCTGTTCATGCCAAGACCGAATTCTGAACGTAGATTGCGTCGTTCAGAGAAAACAGAGGGAACAAAGGGAACCCTCGCCGTCTGTTCGTAGTTGGCAAACCCTTGTGCATGCCAAACACTGCATGTAGCATGAAGCATGCACAAGGGTTTGTCCATTACGAACACACGGTGAAGTTCCCCTCATTTCCTGTTTTCTTTGAATGACGCAATCTACGTTCAGAATTTGCAACCTGACATGAACAGAAAAAAGCCCTTTTAAGCTTGGTATAGTTGAGCTCTGAAGACAAATGATACTGCGTTCGATGTGGATGCTTCCATATTTATTTGAACAGATAAAATCAGAGAAAACATGTTTTCCTGAAGAGGTGCTCTTTAATATTGATTGGGTCCCCGAGCGGGAGTGAACGAGGGTGCAGTTTTCGTAGAAACAGAAGCTCCTTTGGTTTGAATGCACTTTGTTGATTTGAACCACCACGAAATGCGAACATTGCGGTCGCATCGTTACCAACAGAATGAATTCTCCCCACCAACGCGACTCCTTTCAATCAACAAAGGGATGCTTCTAGTCAAGGCAAACAGTGCATGGGCAAAGAGTGTTTGTTACGTGTCATGTGGAGCAGGGATGCGTGAAAGTACAATGTTAAGCCCATCTCTCCTGTACTGTTTTGTTAGTACCGCAACCTTTACGCAGGCTCATTTGCACCCGAAAGTGGTGACTTGGTACCATGTTCTTCAGGTCGATGTGCTGTTGATTATGTGGATAATGAAGAGTCTGTGCATAGAAGCAAAAGAAACTGGGTTTACCCAGTAAGAAATGAGACCGAGGGGTACCCCCCAACATGTCCAATCCCTATACACATTCCAGACTATTGTTACATCCCCCCAAGATGTCTGNTATTCCTGCGAGACAGTGACCAACAGAAAGCAGGGGGGTTCTCTCCGTCTCATACCTTGCTGCATATGAAACTGGGGCTGTTGTAAAGGAGCATTTAGACTCTATAAAGCTGTGAAAGAATGCGTCTGATGGAATGTTATCAGCTTCGTTTGTGTGGAGTTGCTGTAGTGGAGCCCAGCCCGCCCCGCGGCAAGTCATCCAATGTGAAGCCAAGTCAGAAGCTAGTTATTCAAACTAACCCCTTCATTCCGTGAGCCATCCGCAGCCGCGGCTTTGTGTGAATATGCCACACATACAGTCTATTCACCACGCAGCTGCTCGTTCAATGGGGCATACCACAGCCCAGCAGTCACGGTCAAAAGAATCCCAGCGCGAAGGGGTTAACTGTGACAAAAGCATTCCTTTGTCATTGTTTGCCGCGTTCCTCATGACTGGTCATGTTAATGGACTTTGTGATGGATTTGACTACAGTGGCTGCAAATACTATGGTTGGCCTTCGGTGCGAAAGCAAAAAAAATTCACAAAGCTTTGAAAATCCCACGCCGCTGTACACCAGATAGTAAATAACACACGTACTATTAAATACTAACAGAAAATGCAACCCTGTTTGAGACCTAAGAGAAAAATACCCATTTTGAATGAATTGGCGGTCAAATCAAACACCAACCAAGAAGTAATATTTCTGCAAACCTTGGCTGCCCACACAAGTTGTGGGCAAAATGAGAGTCTGTAGCCCTGGCTTTGGGGCCATATCCAGGTTTTGATTCAACTTTGTCATTTTGGCCTTTAGAAAGATCATGCCATGATCAAAACGTCAAGCTCTGTAGTTTTTTTGACTCGGGGGTTTTAGGTCCCTGTAGCCAGCAAGCAGTTTGCGTCAACTTCTGGGTTATAAATTTATTTCTGGTCCGACTTTGTACGTTCACCCAAACCGCCTTTAGGCCTTTTTGCTATGCACCACCCTCAATCCTTCAAACGCCTCCGATTATCCACGCAAAAATATTGCATTCAGCCTCAATCCTCCAAAAATCTTCCAGTATTTCTTGAGCATGTTCCTTTGAGGGGGTGCCCACTGCGTCAATCCTTCAAAATCCTCTGGCAACTCCTGTCATTGTGTTGGAGGCAGTGTGATGATTTTCATGTACGATGTACTTGTAAACGCGAATTTATGCATGGCTGGGCATAAGCAGCACATGGCTTAACCCACAACCTCGACACAATCAGCCACAGTTTTTTTGCCGTTCTGCCGTAATCTCCCAAACCCTCCAGGATTTTTGAGGATTAAGGAGGGTTCAATAAATGTCCAATCTGCCGTTCTTCCCAGATGAACGCACTGCAGTCAAACATGGCAGCCCCGGCCCTCGCCCAGAACTCCCAGGGAGCGGTGGGCGTGTCGGCCACCCAGTTGACGGTCAGCTACCCGGCGCCCCGCTCTGCCCAGGCTCCCCAGCCCAAGCAGCGGGTCTTCACGGGGACCGTCACCAAGATGCACGACACATTCGGCTTTGTTGATGAGGACGTCTTCTTCCAAACGACGTAAGTGTTCTGACCAACGTTAGATCGTGAGCCATCCCTCCAGCACAGACCTTCCATATTATAGAATATAATATATATATATATTTTCTCACCCGTCATTTCCCAGTGTTTTCTCCGGTTGCGGCATTCTGTTTGGGCGTCTTTTGGGAGGGGTCTACCTTGAAGTCAAGCTTTTCCCTGTTTTTCTTTCAAACATGCTTGATTTTGCATCTGGGCAAAACGAACGTGGGATTCTTTGAAAGAATCTTGACTTTTAGTTGGATTTTTAATACGTTTTCACGTTAGAGATGAAACAGTGATTTTTAGGTCCTAATGTTACTTGGCAGCACAGGTAGTGTGGACATAATTTGCCCAAATTCGGAAGCAACGGCATTTGACAACGTCACGCAAGGTGTGAAATTGATCTCCAGGGAAAGTAAGGATTTACAGAGACAAAATTGTTCAAGTGTCTTCAATCTTGTAATTCCCATTCCTTAAAAAAGTTGGAGATCCGCTTAATATAAGGAAAGCTAAGATATTTCCCACTTTTGTGTATGGCAATGGGAATCTGGTAAAATACAGTTGTCACTGTGAATTTGCATCTACATTTGTATCTGTGTGAATGCCGTTTTTATCGCAAGTATGTCCTGAGTTGGACCATTCGACGTAACCTTCCCTTTTATCTTTAACAGGTCAGTGAAAGGCCCAATGCCCAAGGTCTTGGAGAGAGTTTTAGTTGAAGCAACCTACAACCCTAACATGCCCTTCAAATGGAACGCCACCCGGATTCAAGTCCTGCCCAGTCAGGTAAGGTTTCTTCACGTTGTCAAGTTTGATTTGATTGCTTGAGTAGCTTCAAGCTTCGGAGGCCCAAAAGAAGTGGGCTCTTTCGGGCATTATTATAGATTGGGGGGGGTTGCCCAACCAAGATCACACAACCGGCATTTCTGAAACTTGGCATGCTTGTAAAGATGTCCGTTGTTTAGGGGTGTGAGAATTCAGCCTCTTACAATTACTGTAATTCATGGGCTCGGTGCGTCACATGGCATAGCTGCATTCAACTGAACATGAGAAAATTCAGACCCAATTATAAACATGACTCAGCAAGTTTTGATCTAAAGTCCAATTCCTAGAATGGTCTTTTCTCTGAATGTATGGTATGTGCTGAGCTGAAACTTCATCAGGTTAATTCTCAGGCACCATTCTTTAGATTTGGAGTAATTTTGTTGCCTCAAAGGAACATAATGCACAAATGGCAAATGCTGGACTGTACCCCGAGAGCTTACACCTCGACTGCTAGTCACTCAACCGTAGAAATACACTCAAGAAACGTCTATGCTAAATAATTCCATATCTCCGTCCACCCCCTGCAGCAGCAACAACAGCAACAGCAGCAGAGCGTGCCCCTCCTGAAGGCACCCCCGGGTCAAGGTTTGATGGGCCAGGCGCCCCCCGCAGTCATGGGAATGCAAGCCCAGGTCAACCTAGCCCAGCAGGCCCAAGGGATGACCCCCGTCATAGCCCCCTCCGGTCCCGGTGAGTTGCAGCTCTATCCCATCCCGCCCGTCTCCGAATCATCCCGAATCTCCTGAAATGGTTCTCAGTGAAGTGGTGCTCATTTCTTGAAGATTCCAGTTTTGAGTTGAACAATCAGAATGGGCAATAGCATGCAGACCTGTGACAGCCAGAATACTGTACAGGTGTTCAGTATGTATAGCGCACCGTGTATTTTAAAGGGAACCATTCAGCCTTGAGGAATAATTTTGCTACGGACAGGTGCATAAGTAAATCAAGAAGTTGTAAAGTAATACAAGAATATGTAGAACAAGAACATCAGGTATATCCCAGCTCACACCGTAACTATTACGAGTTTGTGCCCAAATGTTAGACGCTATATAGGTGCTGGTAAGTTGCTCTGCTGTCAGAGAGATGTGGCAATTAATGTGGCCGAGGGTATTAATGAGCTTCCTTGAACCTCACTCTGTTTTTTTTTTTTCTTAGGTGGACCGGGTCTACTGGCCCATCCCCAGGGCCCGCCCATCCAAGTTCAGCGTCGCCCGGAACCGGTCCGTGCCGAGCCCCTGCGCTCCTCCTACGACCAGCGCGAGCGGGAACGCGAGGCCCGCCGTCGCGAGCGGGAGCAGGAACGGGAACGCGACCGGGAGCGCGAGAGGGAGCGGGAACGCGACCGGGAACGCGAGCGGGAGCGAGAACGGGAGCGGGAGCGCGACCGTGACCGGCGGCGTCAGGAGCGGGAGAAGTCGCCGCCTGTGCGCCACCGCTCCTACTCCCCACGCCGGTCGCCTAAGAGGACCCGCCGCCCAGCCCCTCGCTACGTGGTGCAGATTGCCAAGCACTCGCTGGACGTGTAAGTCTGAGTCACAGCCTTTGTCGTAATTACTTGGATGTGGCTTGAAATTACCCACAACTTTATAGGAATCAGGTACGAGCCACATCTAATTAATCTGACGTGGTCATGCTTTGATCCAGGCATGGATCCAAGGGTGAGATTTCTCAGCTTTTTAGCTGATTTCAGCTTTTTCTGTTTTTGATATCAGCTTGTTTCCCTCACTAGCTGTATACAAAAGTGTAGGAGATTTTCACAGTTCAGCTTCTTTTTGCCTTTTTTCAGTTATTGTTCAATCTCACCTCTGGGATCACGGGCCAGTTCATGCACATTCAAGAAATGCCACCTGATCCCCTGATTCTTAAGGCTATTTTATTAAAAAAAAATTGCTTCTGTTTGTGCTGGAGGTTTGGCATGAACATAATGTCGCTGTAAAACTGGGAGCGGTGTCTATTGATTTACACTGCGCTAGATTCTTTAAATGCGTCAAATTCCAAGGTGGCTCAGGTAGCTTCCTACCTGCCGTGCTTGGTTGATCATATACTGAGAGAATACATTGGAGGATTTTTCTATTTCGTACTCTTGAAAGTTTTAAAAGATAACATTAGTGTCGGTGGCCACTGTACGCCATTCGCATGTGAATGGGTTGACATACGCGAACGTGTTGCCCGGCAGTGCGCGTTTGGAAAAAGTCGACACATTTCGCGCATTGTGAGTGGCCAACGCGTTGGAAACTCTCGGTGGTGCACTGAAATGCCCATGAGGACAGTTAACAAACTAGATTTAGATAAACAGGATTTATGAAGTGAAACTTCATCTTTGCTCTGAAGCCATGCCCGAATCTCACCTTTTTCCCAGTGAAGATTTCCTCGTTCACAGATTGAAGTTAACATGCAAAATATTGGGTAGGTGATTGTTTCATTCTGGTCATCACATGATGGAGTCCGTGTAATTACAAGTTTTTGATAACCAGTGCGTTGGTCATTGAAGCTTTACTAGAGGTCTACATTTATTGTGCCTGTGGTGTAGGGACAAGATTTTTCTATGCACCCAGTCGCGCATTACAAAAAGTAGACCAAGATGGCAGAAGCACCTCATTGACTTTGTGTTGTTTTTTTTTATGTTCTTTGACCAGGTACCAGTCCAATGTGATTGAGCTGCGCAGACGGTACAGCAACATGTACATCCCCAGCGACTTCTTCCGCTCCACCTTCACCTGGCAAGATGGCTTCCCCCTCTCCCGCCCCCTGGGCATCGGCAGCAGCTGTGCCTTCCACGTCATGAGCAAGGACGTGGAGCCCCTTGAGAAGAATGACGCGGTGCTGGAGCCGCCCGATGCCAACTACAAGTACTCCGCAAAGGTAAGGCACAGTATCCCCGACGCCAGGCCCGTGCCGCTCTTGTTTCTGACGGAGTCAGTTGACTGTATGGTCCCCTCAGCGTGGAGCACTGCTGTTTCAAGTACTGCTGCTTGTGTCTACATGCTGGCCGAGATTGGACACGGGACAATAAAGATCATGGTGATTCAAATCCGTCGTCCTTAGGAGTGAGAGCTTTTGGAAAAACAGTGCAGCCCTTTTAGGTTTGAGAGACAGTCACCTAACTCTGCTTTCCTTAATCCTTATGAAGCTGCAGAGCTCTTCTTTTGTACTGTTTTTCACACTGGAGGATGTGGAAACATGCTGAATTCTCCTTGGTGCATTTGTTGCAAATTTCATGCTCTAGCCTAAATAGTGAACCCCCATGTGACCATGTTCTCAGCCTGCCAAGATAAAGAAACGGCAAGGTGTGTGTTATAAATGGCACTGACGGAATGCCTCATAATTCAGAACTCTCCATTTTGAATTCTGTGTTTGCATTCCGGAAGGGACAGCTGTTCCACTGGGAAACAGTGTTCCCACTGTAACCGCTGCCTCAGCACGGTCTACACACAAAGTGGGCCATTCTGGCGGACATGTTAACATTCCACTAGAACATTAGAGTTCCAGTGGGAACGGTCCATTGAATACAAACGTTCCTAACTTTCGAGACACTCTGTAATGCTATTTTTCTCGGGTGCTTTCCCAGGTGATGCTCATGGCCTCCTCCTCGCTAGAGGACTTCTACGAGCAGTGCTGCTCTCGGCCCCAGGACCTCAGCGAGGTGCGGGAGAACTTCCAGCACCCCACCCGCCTCATCAACTTCCTGGTGGGCCAGAAAGGCAAGAATGAGGCCATGGCCATCGGCGGGCCCTGGTCCCCCTCGCTGGACGGCGCCGACCCGGTCAATGATGACACCGTGCTGATCAAGACAGCAATCCGTACCACCAAGGCGCTGACGGGGATTGACCTGAGCGAATGCCTACACTGGTGCGTTAACCTTACTCTCACATGCATGCATCTATAACAAAATTTGGGAAAAAATTGGCAGTCATGTGACATCCGGGAATTATTTACAAAAAAATTCTCCACCTTCCCTTTAATAATTTTAAATATCTCAGGTTTAGTAGTGATAACAATAGCTATATGCAGAGTAGACTTTGTGTGAGTGATAATTCATTTGAAGAGGTAAGTGTTTTTAATAAGGATAGCGGTTAATACTTAGAGGGGAAATATAGTTGTGGGGTTTGGAAAAAGACAGAATTTTGTGGAACTTGGAAAGGGGAGATCTGTGGATGTGAGGTGTCCTGCGGACTGGCTGGTGCGCTTTACTGAGTTGTGAAGGTAGGGCGTCCCAAAGAACTCTCCATCGGAGGTTGGCGTCGAGAGAAGTCAGGCGGTGTCTGGTGAAGGCTGAAGTCCCCCGGTAGAATGCTAGGAAAATATATTGCTCCTCTAATTCAGTCCAGTGGGTGCTTTTTGTGTCACATCGACACTGCGGCTAAAGTAATCTTGCTAAGCCAAATGCTGGGTAGGGAGGATGGACGGAAAGGCCTTAGATGTTGATGGGGGGGGCGACATCCTGCTTGGAACATTTCAGGTGGGTTTGTTCTCAAGGCTCAACCAATCACGAACTATCCGCAGCGATAGATTGTGTGAAGATTCAAAACCAAGACTAGCTTTGATAGTTTTGTACAGTTGTTTGGCAACTTGAAATCGGTGCGAATGTGTGGCCGGAAAATGACCCGGAATGTCCACTCATGTTTGAGCCCCGCTTTGATGCGGGGGGGGCCCTTTTTTTTGCTTTGGAGCAGTGGTCAGCTCTTAAGTTCCTCTCATGAAATCTGCTTCAGTTTGCTGATAGTGTCAGGGTTGGAAACGTGGTGGTGTGCCATACACTGCCAGCAATAGGAAAAAACGTGCTGATGTAACACATCGATAATGAACGGCCGATGTACCCGGTGATTGTATAATGCCAAACATTGTCAGCCATCTTTTGAGATAAATTGAACGGTATTGGCCAGGATGTTTTTTGTTTTTGGTTATTCCTTTCCGACATTTTATGCTGTGCATTGTAACTTGCTGGTTTGATTTGTGTTTTTCTAACAGTTTGTGGTTTCACTGTCTTTTTTTTTGGTACCCATTTAGTGAGCACCTTTCTTAACCTGAAAAGGTCAGACTTGATGCTTTTAGAATTGCCTGGTCAAAGTTAAACAAAATTTTTTTGGAAATACTGAAGCACAGATTTTAAAAGTGGTCCCTTTGACCAAAGACTTCACATGCTTCACGCGAACTGTCACCTGTGATTGAACCCTTTGAAAAATCTGAATGAATATTGGGAGAAAGAAAAGAGAAAAAAGGAAAACACCATCATGGAGTCTAGGAACAAGACGTTAGAAAATCTGTCAATACACCAATACACTGAAACCTTTCAGTGGACCTCCAAGTGAATTTCAAAAATATTGGAAGTTTCTTCAGCTTACATGTTTTTTGTTTTTAAGTGAAGCTTCTTGATTTTAATTGGTTTTCTTCAAAACTCACAAAATTTCCACCTTGCCTCAAGCCCTGTCACATAAGTAGTTCTGTAACATCTAGCTGATTTCAGTCTACCTATTCTCATTTCTCTCACTAAATTTAAAATTCTAAATTGTTTTTCTGTAAACCTGCTTGGTAAAAGCACCACTTTCTACTTTCTAACAACACCTCTAGCCTTTTTTTGTACTGCTTATTTGATATTTTTTGCCTCTGTAAGGTTTCAAATAAACCCGAATGCCGCTGGCACGGGTTACGTTAATGCACTATCATTCGAACCCCCCACCAGGTACCGCTTTCTCGAGCTCCATTATCACCGACCGGAGCGGATCTCCAAGTCCCAGCTAGTGCCCGCCAGTGTTGAAACTGTGGTTATTTTCGTTCCGGATGTATGGCATCTTTTACCCACCAGGGCGGAGTACGAGGGGCTAGGCGCCCGCTACAAGAAGCGACTGGAGGAGAGGCTAGCAACGCAGGAGCGCCAGCCCGCAGGCAAATCCTCCAGCACTGGAGGGGACATGGCCGGCGACACACAGGCACTGAGACTAGTATTTCTGCAGACTCACTTTTAACCCCCCAAAAACCATCCTCCCCACACACACATGCAAACACAGTACTCGAACACTCAGATCAGCTCACAAGATGTCAACACTCAACACTCACATGTCGACACTCAACACTCGCATATTACATTATTACAACTCATTTTCCAAAGAGAAGAGCAGATTTTTATCCCTAGATTCGCCATTTGTGAGGCCAAAGTAATTTTCAGTCACAGCAACTCACTGCGTTAAAGAGAAAAAGTTGAGCAGAATTTCTCAGCAGTTTCTCGGCGCTGCTACAAAGCAACTCACACACACGCAAGCTCCTGTGAGCGATCTCGACCGCTCCTCCCAGCATGCACCAAAAACCAGTCCAGACAATCTAGCAGCAGTCACCGAAAACACCAGTAACGCTCAGTAATGACACTCACTGCATCTCAAAAAAAAAACCACCCCTCAATCTGTTCTGTCATACCCGTTCAACCATTTCACTTTTTATCTCCCAAGGCAGCTTTTTTCCCCCCAGTGGCAGTGAGTACAAAAGCTTATGGCTTTCCAAGGGTACTTTCACTGGAGCATATTCAGCATCGCAACCAGACATCTTTTTTTAATCTTCCGTTTTTTTTTTTTAATAATAAAATAATATAAATTAATTCTTAAAAATATATTTCGACCTTTTTGATGAGAGTACTGTACAAGGGGCATCACTTCAGAGCTTTTTATGAGAAACAAAGGGACACGCTTTTTTGGACGTCCAGCACCTGGGAGGGGGGGCTTTAATGGTAACATTTGTTAATGATCCGTATTTTCTCTTCTTGTCGATAGTGTGAACAAAGGTGCAATAACTAGCCTTTTGAAAATCCAGCCAGGCGGCAGGGTCTATTTTGTCCGACCCTTGATGATTCAGCCAAAGAGAGAAAAAAGAAAAAAAAATTTCAGCAGAGATGTTTAGATTCAGGAACACTCTCCCATAATTCCCTTGGGACGTGACCTTTAACCCTGACGCTTATATCCGTTTCACAGATACACACAGGCTCACCCTTCTGTGGCCTCTTGGAAAAATCGAAGACCACCAAACCACGAAAAACACCAGAACGATTACGATGCAGTTTTAGAAATTGCATCATTTTTCTTTTTTTTTTCATAATTTTGTTTATAAATAGACCAGTACATATACTTGAATTTGTACCACAGACTAATGGTATTTACCTACAATATATGTCCTAAAATGGCTTAGAAGTTTAAAAGTAACCTTTCCACAAAAAGGAAGGCAAACGAGCACCCAGTAGTTTTATTTACTTCAAGTTTATCTCAGATTGCTTAGGAATTTCAGTAATTGAATTACATGTAAGTGGCAGATTTTCACATCTGTACAGTTTCAGTTTAAGCATGTTTTGGGTCTCCTTTTCTCTTTTCTTCTTTGGCCCGATGTCTGATGTTTGCATGTGTTTGTTCTTGCTTCTCAGGAGGACGAAGACGGATCGGAATCTTCGGTTAACATGACCCCAACACATCACCGTCTGCTCGACCCTAAAACTATGAAGGTACATACCAACACCGATGCGTTGTGTCCGGGCTCCAGCCCACCAGTGGATAAATTGTGAAAGCTCACAAATCATGAATTGATCAAGTAAATTCATAAACCCTTTAAAGTGTTTTCTCTGAGAGATACAAGCTAGCTCGTCAGTTCGTGAAATCCAAAACTTTTCAATGGCCTCTCAGCGTTAGGAGGTTCTGCTCACACCTATGTGTCGGTTTGTGAAACCCACATTTGTGATGCGGTTCTCGTGATGTGTCATAAGATACGCCTTGTGTTTCTAGTCATGATAACGATGACGAGTTGACTCCCTTCAAAGGGCCAGAAAGTTCTCCAAACACCAAAAGAGCTGGCTTTTAAGAGATTGCATCATTCCGCACTCGCAGGTGAACGACCTGCGGCACGAGCTTGAGTGCCGCGGCCTGAACTCCAAGGGCCTGAAGTCACAGCTGATTGCCCGCCTCACTAAGGCCCTCAAGACAGAGGCGGAGAAGGAGGAGGAGGAAGGGGGCGAGGGGGGCTCGGAGGGCCCCTCGGGGACCGAGAAGGAGGAGCCGTCAGGCAAGGAGAGAGATGCCAAAGAGGACGACGAGATGGAGACGGACCAACAGAAGGAGGTCAGTGTTGGCCTTGCTGCAGTGATAGGCGGAAGTCATTGCTTAGCATAATTTTTTTGTAAATGGGTTATACAGTGCATTTACAAAAATCCAACCCCTTGGAAAAAGTTCCCTTGTGTCTCCAGTAACCTTACTCACAATTTTTTGTGTTGCTGTTTTACGGGGTATTTGGTTCCTTTTTGTTTTTGTGCCGATGAAATTTCCATATTCATGAGCAAACTGTAGGGCTGTGCCGAATATCCGAATATTTGATCGATTGCCAAATATTTGAATATTATTTCTGAATTTGAATATTCAAATGCAAAATTCATGAAAAAGAAGGAAATTTTTTTTTAAATGTGAAAAATTACTCGAGTAGATTCAATTGTGTGCGTCATTGCAACTGATTTTTGTGTATGGTTTGTTCATCAATAATCTGCTGGTCGGTACGATATTTGATCAAAGTGAAGGTCGAATATTCAAATAGTGAATTATTCGAATTGACTCAGCCCCAGCAAACTGTGATGTCACCCGAGGAAGGAAACCTCAACATGACATCAATTTGTGCGCACACAAATGCTTGAAGTTTTACATTTTGCAGGCCCAAACATCCTTTAGTTTGGTGTTTCATTGTTGTCTATGAAAGTGTGTGGCAATAACCCAGGGAGCAATCCTCAGCATTGTTTTCAATGAGAAAATTGTGGCCTTGCAACTTCAAAAGAAACAGCACCCTCGCAACTTCAAAAGAAACGACACCCTCGCGACTTCAAAAGAAACGGCACCCTCGCGACTTCAAAAGAAACGGCACCCTCGCAACTTCAAAAGAAACAGCCCCCAAAAAAACTTGGGATAAAGGAACTTGAATAGAATGCAAAACAAACTGTTCAGTGAGTTTGTTTTTCCCTTTTAAGTGACTTTTTATACAAGTACACAGTTCGAAAACAGAGAAGCAGGTATAGCAGTCTGCTCTTCTGATGCCACTGTCATGTTTTCTACAAATAGCTGCTAAAACTGGCTAGCCAGCTGTATAAAGTTAGAATGATAGTTAACAAAGTGGTTAAAAATCCCACGCAGCTATCAGAGCACCAGATAATAACGCATGTACTATTGAATACGAAATGAAAATGCAACCCTGTTAAATATTAATGGGACATGTATCTACTTTTAATGAATTGGAGGTAAAAACGAAAACCTACCGAACAGCGATATTTCCGCTAAGTTTGGCCACCCACACAAGTTGTAGGCAAAATGAGAGCAGTTTGTTGACCTCGGCAGTCAAGTGCCCATGTGCACGGCGCAAGACCAATGCTCAGTAGCTGTACAAAATGGCCTCCGATTTCAACCTGTCGTTCTTTTCTCATTTTGTTTGCCCTCGCAATTATTTTTCCACAGGACAAGCGAAAGCTAAGCGACGAGAAGCTGCGGCGGGACCTGGAGCGCAAGACCACCCTGCCGGACGGCCCCGCCATCGTGGTCCACCCGTCGCCCACCGCCAAGAGTGGCCGCTTTGACTGCAGCGTGGTCTGCCTGAGCGTGCTGCTGGACTACCGGATCGAGGACAACAAGGAACACTCCTTCGAGGTTGGTCAGCCTCGACACGACTCTTCGTCCACCCCCCACCCAAAACCTAAAACACCTTGTAACCCCCCACAGAGCTGACCCCCGCTGGCCTTTGTGATCAAGACAGATTTCTCATTTCGTTTCAGGTGTCGCTGTTCGCCGAACTGTTTAATGAAATGCTTCAAAGAGACTTTGCTTTCAACATCTACAAGGCGCTCTATCGAGCACCGGAGAGGAAAGACAAGGTAATGAGAGGTGAAAAGTTCTCTTAATTAACTGTTGTTGGCCAGTGGCCCCAGAAGATTTCCCAGTGAACACTCGGTGCAAAGATCAGTTACGACATTTAGTGTGATGGGAATTTGCGCAGTGGCCGACGCAAGTGAACCAACCGGTGAACTACTCATTACTACATTCCAGACAGAAAAGAACGATTGAAGACGCAGCAAGTAACGCTTTCAATACTCTGTTATGTTCCAGCGTGGAAACTATTCCGTGTCATCGAGCGATGTGACCTGTTCAAGAGGTTGGGCCAACCATTTTTAGAGACCAGTCGCCCGGTGCCCACTTGATGACCTTGCACCGAAACAAAAGTGCAGTTAGTGCGGATCTGCGCCAAGTGCTCACTCCAATTTGCTTGCAGAACCGAACGAATCTATTTCTCTCCCTCTCTGTCTTTCTTAGGATAAGGACAGAAAGGACAAGGACGAGCCCAAGGCCAAGAAACGGAAGACGTCCGACGAGAAAGGAGAGAAGGATCGCGACGACAGAAAAGACAGAGATGTAGACAAGGTGAACGATTGAGACCTTAAAAGCTGTCTTTACACATGGCACACATCGTGCAGGGTTTTTGGTTTCCAAAGTCAGTCTTAACATTGAATGATGAAACGACCTGTTCATGTCTTTCCCGGTTATTCTTTACGGTTTTTTGTCCAAAATCTTCACTTACTCGACACTCTATTTTTGAAAGGGATGCGCAGCTCTAAGAAGACAGTTCTTGCTGTCTGAACCCATAACGTGCCGCATTGTAATATGGGGTCTAGACAAGGCTCTACATCAGTTTGAGACAGGGCAGTGTGAAGGGAAATAGAAGGGATTTGTTTTCTTTGTAAAGTAAATAGATATGGTTCAGCGGGTACCCAATCTTTGGAAAATCAGCTCTGTAAAATCTGGTTAGGCAAGTCACTTTTGCATCCCCCCTTAGAAATTTGGAAGTGATTTTGTGAATTGGTTTTTTTTTTTAAAATGATTTTGAAACAGGATGATGAGAGGATGGAGGATGACGACGATGCGGGAGACGACGATGATGAAGATGGAAGAAGCGACGCGGATGATGACGACGACAGTGCGTATCTCGCACCTTACACATGTATTACCCTGTGGTCAGGTGTGACTTGGGAAAAATGTCACCCTTGTTGGGCCACTGTTTTTTGCCTCGTTTTGTGGAAAAGAGGACTTTTAGGCAGGTTATGAAGATAAGCTGGGGGGGGCACGTTTACTTAGGCCTGCTGATAGAGGACACTGGTACATGGATGTGTGGCTGGCTGGTAAAAAATTACGTCAGAAGAGCAGAGGTTCGGGTTTGAAAGTTGTTGTTCTGCAGTCATTTAGACACGTCAGGAAGAAAAGGCTACTAAAAAGGAAAAAACATTCCGAATTAAAATCCTCTGTTGGCTGCAAATCTTTTCTTAAGCTGTGGAAGGCATTGCATGCCTGTCTGCTGTTACAATTTGATTGGAACCTTTCAGATTTTTAAATTTTTGGAAGTTGTACAGGTGGGAATAGTCAAATTTTTCGTTTTCTGAAAAACATTTTGCACACTGCCCTCTATCTGGGATGTTGACTCCAAAAAGGAAAAAGGCGAACTTGGAGGAAGGTTATTCTCGAGTCATTTGGACCCTTCCCTTCCCCCCGAAAACAAAAGCTACAAAATACGCATGACAGAAAGTTGTCTGTCATCCGCAAAACCATTCTTCACCAAATGCCTTTCTGACTCCTGCTCCCATAGCCGATGACAGGCGGCGACCAGACGACCGGAAGCGCGACAGCCGGAAGAAGCCGCGACGGGCCAAACTGGAGACGGTGGACCCCACCCTGCTCCTGTCCTGCGTCTACTTTGACCAGAATCACACCAACTACCTGGTGGACCGAGACGTGGAGGAGATCATTCACAGCATCGGCCTGCATCTCTCCCGATCACAGGTAGGGGAAAAAAAAAAAGATATTGTCTAAAACTTCAAAACAAGACAACCCAGAGGAAGAAATATTCTTCCTCTTTCCATCAGATGATTCCCTCGTTTCTCTTTTGACTGTGGACGTTGTTCGAGACTAACAGTTTCAGGGTGGAGCAGTGGTGAGACTTGACAAGTTTTTTGTCGTAGAGGGTAACACTTTTTTGTTTGTGTTTTTTTCCGAACTATTCTAACATTGGTCAGTGCACCACTCTTGGAATGTCAACTTGGAAGTCAAATTTCCTCCTTGAAAAGGGGAGTGAAGAGAGATTGAGACTTGAAGGAAAAGAAATTTTCCTGCTAAATCTGTCGCATTGCCAGTTGGAATGGCACACGGAACGACTAGTGAAAAATATGTTTTCCTTCAAATCCCCACCGAATCGTTACCCAGGTGCGAAAGATCGTTCAGAAAGTCGTCTCCCGAGACGCCATGTCCAGGGAAATCTTCAGCTACCGCAAACTGACCGACCGGTCCAAGGAGGACAGCGAGGGAGGCAAGACTGAGCAGCAGGTCAACGGCATGGCGACAGACGCAGAGTTAGCCAAAGGTAATGCCAATACGAACTCGCCCGTACTCAATCAGCCATCGGAGCCCTCTGGGATTTGGCACAAATCACCACTCTGCTATAATCCACACAGCACTTTCTGTGTGTTACAACTTACCAGGGGCAGTAAAGCCCCGTGCTTGAAAGAAATAGTAGTAGGGGGTAATGCCTCATCTTGCAAAAGTTCCAAAACATGCTGATGGATTTTGAAAGTTCTTGGAAGCTTAGGAGTCGACTCTCAATAGTTCAAATCGGAAGATCCAACGCCCAGTTGCACTAAGATTTGAGGGTTGCCACTTCCATCTTGTTCATCGAACAGACCCCTGTATTGAAGGCATCAACACCATGTTTACATGTTCACTTTCCTGTGGAGCCAGTGGGGGCCCATGGTCCACCGAGCACCATAGGAATGCAGGCGTTGGCGTCATCAGTACAGGGGTCTGCTCTGTGTTGGATTCCGATGCCTGTCCGAGTACACAGAAATGGGCTATATTATGGGGACAGAGTTCTTGCAGTCACAAAGGTTACTTGTTACATGAAGAATTGCCTGGCAGCCTCTGAGAGAGATGGTGGCTGTAAGGGGATAACTTTGAAGTCAAGCAGATTTGGGCAACAGACCAACGCCAGGGCGCGTCGTTGCCGTCTAGTGCAGTGATACAGGATAGATGTGCTGATCTTGCAGAAGAAACTTACAGAGGGATTTCACATTAGCGCCGTCTGCGCATATCTGCATCGAAACGGAGGCTCTCTGTGTTGAACTTCGTCGCGCGCGCCCGCGGAGTCAGTCCACACAGTACATGTACATGGAGTATCCGGTTCGTAAGTGTGACGCCACTTCGGTTTAAACCACGCCCACTGCACAAGACACATGACCATCGCAGGTACGTTAGTTCGCGGTCAATTGTTATCATATTTTCTTTCAATTTTACGTGTCGAGTCATCCTGAAAGACTCTTCCACAAAAATTTTCAGCCCAAAAAGTCTGAATTTAACATACCTTTATGTATTTTGTGTCTTGACTCCTTACTTTCAATCGTCTGATCATATTAAGAATTGAAGGTGACCCATACAGCCTTGTTTTCAAACGCGGAAGTGCGCAGATTGACGCTAAAAGCGTCGTATTGGGATCCCTCTATTACAGTGATCATAGTGGTTTAACTATTGGGGGTGGGGAATGCCCCCCTCCCCCTTGGGAATTCGTGTCCCCTCCTCTAGATGTCCTTTATTTTGGGTCCCCCCTCAATTTTGAAATGTACACACTTTCTGCACGAGCCGCAGTTGATTTGCCACCAGCGCCTCCCTTAAGAAATGAAACATCTTCACCTCTGGGTACCCCCTCCGGTATTTCCTCCATTCAAGCCACTGGGTTATCCTCGGGTTTACACTTCGTTGTTTCTCTCCCACTGTGAAGCGGACAGTGGGTGGCATGCGAAAAAAGGAAGAATTATTTAGGCACAGCGGAACACTGCGATAACAAGGTCCTGGGGACTTCACAAATCACCATATTGTAGCAGTTACCTGGTGTTATCAGTTACAGAAAAAACCAAAGTGGTGGGACCAAAGTTTGTCCCCGTTATAGACGTGACCTTGTATTGACCACTTGCTGCCGGGGAGCCAGGTTTCGGAGACGTTGGCTTTATACGCATAGCCGGGGTGCCCGAAATTCGACGAAAGGAACTGGGCCTTGTAACCGTACTCGGGACAAAAGACCGAGCTGCTGGGAATTGCCAACATTTTTTCACTTGTCAATAGCGGAGGAAATCCATCATTTTTTGGAAAGATTATACTACTGTTTGTAGCATTCGGCACGAGCAGATTTCCACCGGGGACAAAAGCACTCCAGTGTTCGAGTGATGAGCGAAACAATACCGCTGCACGTTAATCTGGCCCCTATTGGAAAGACGTCAGCAGCGCACTGTTTCAAGAACAAAAGAAAATTACATAACACCGCACAATCTGGGCTCATTTCACCAGACGGCAGGCCTGGCTGAAGTACTCGGGCGTCAATAGATGTTGTCTTTCAGATTAGAGTAGCCACCAGACGGTCATTTGTGTGGGTGTAAACATCCAATAAATGAAGTTAGGAATTTTTAAGAATTTTGAAAACAGAAAAAAATAAATAATTACCCGGCCAAGCAGAATCAACATGGATAAATGGTCCTGCCGCGAAGTGGTTAACAGTTCTCTCTTTGTCTGTGTTCGACAGTATTTGACTCTAACATCTCTCTAATCAACTGACAGGTAACTACGAGCTTCTGAAGGGGGATGCTTCGGCATCCTCAAAGGCCAAGTCAGAAGAGGCCGAGACAGAGAAGGGTCTGATCACCTTCCAGGGCAGCATCATCGACGTCCGTAACCTCCTGCAGAAGGTAGAGAAGAGCAACCAGGATCGCCTGACGGCCGAGCGCAAGATTGAGGAGATGGAGTTTATCGTTGGTGAGAAGTCCATGCGTGTCTTTAACCACTGCCGGACAGTATGAGCCCCGAGCTCAACTAAGATAGGCCGCAATTTTCCAAGCAGTGGTGGATCCCGTGGTAGGAACTGCGCTTGGCTGGTTCGCAATCAGCTATGAAATGCTACCAACAACATGAACCCTCCCCACCAACATAGCTCTTTCCAACCAGCGAGGGGGTGCTTTTGGCTCGAAACTTTGACTTTCCAAGGAGGCATGATATAGCCACCAACGTTACACATCCAGCTAACTGCCATGGATACTGATTCACAATAGGCACTTGCACAGTGGGTGATATTTCTTAGCTCAACCTCATGCTTTTCAACCCTCAGGGTTTTTTCCTGAGCCTGGTCTGCCATAAATGACTAAACTGACACATCACAGCTGTGCTTAATAGAAGTGTCTTCACATGAATATTAAGTTTCAAAATGAATTGCCATTTGACTGCCGAATTCATGGGGGGGGGTGGAGTCTACCGCCTCCAGCTGTGAGATGGTTCAAAAAAGCCCTGCTCTCATAGGCCAACATTTTTTTATTAGTTGGATTAATAACCCGTTGACTCTCAGTAAATCAGTTTTAGAAAAAAAAAAGATAAAACTGCCATTATTTTATTCCTAACAGGTTTTAGTGTTTTGAACAAATAATGCATTTAATTCAATTTTTGTCTCCTCTGACCCTAGATAAGTTAAATGTAGGGAAAGTGTGACTTCAGAGTTTCATTAAAACAATTTTTCTTCTGTCCGACCCTGCAAAATGTAATGCTGTGTTCATAATCCAATAAATGAAAGAAATGCTGGCCTTAGGGTTAGGTCGTGGTTTTGAAGATATTCGGAAGAAAATAAATCTCAAACAACTGTCTTTGTCTTGTCCCGGCGTCCGATTTTCTCACAGATAATCTCCGCTCCAATGCCACCTCCTCAGAGGCCAACGCCCGGGGGATGGTGGCCAACCTGGACGACATCCGCAAGCGGCTCTACACAACGGAGAAGCAGCTCAAGGCAGCCGAGCGGCAGGCCCAGACCTACCGGGAGGCCATCCTGGCCTCCAAGAAATCGCTGGGCCAGGCGACGGCCAAGCTAGAGGAGGCCTTGACAGAGAAGAAGGCCGACGGCGACAAGGAGGCGAAGGCCAAAATGGAGGCCAAGAAAGAAGAGGAGGAACCGCCGAAGGAAAAGGAGGCCAAACCGATCATCAAAGAGGAGAAATAATCGACGCCGTTTTTTAGCAAGGTTTTTAGCAACACCAACCTTGTCCCCTACCTGTTTCAAATTCCGAGATACTTCAGATTTTATTGTGTGCATTTTGTGAAAGGTCCTTTTGGAATTGGAGATGGGTGTCCTTGCTTGGCAAGAGAGTTAAACATGGCACTTTTTTTAGGTCTCACGAGTGTCATGCTGCTGTCTTTTGCGGGGGGTCTGCAAGTAAGCTATGGCATTTTCGGTTTTGAAACGTTACGATGATGTTAACATTTCTACCGTGCATTTTCCGAGGAAATTTTCATCAGATGTATCCAGTTTTCTGACGTACCCAGTTGCCAGCCATTGAGTTTGGATGGATTAGAGTTGATACACTTGCTGACTATTGAACCGTGGTTCTCGGCTTTATCCCAAAAATCGCGGCTTGCGGCTACTTGCCGTAGGTGTGTGTGTTACCGTAATCCTCCAGCCAGTTTATTTGTGGTTACACTCACAAAAGTCTGAGTTCAGGGGTGTGCATTTTTTCGTCTGCCTGAGTCCACTTTACATTCACACGCGTGTGCACCCACGCACGCCACGCCAGAGTTGGACAAGCCCGATTCAACCACTCATCCAGAGTGTCTCCGTCAAACTCTCAACTAGAATGCGGACACCGTGACCTCTGACGCGGCTGTATCATTTTCACAGGAACAAAAAAAGGTGACTTCGTCCACAGCGTAGCAATGTAAGCTACCTCTCCTCCAGTTTGTATCATTCAATCTTGATGTTTTCAACTGACCACCATTTTGTCCAATCTGCGTTGGCGATATTTTCTGAATTATCAATGATCTACATAGATATATTGAGTAGCTACCTAGATATGCTTATATCGGCTATTTGTTATATTGTGGAGTTTATGTTTGATTACACTTCAACTCACTGGTATGAAATAATATGCCACAGAAAGATGAGCGTACACAGGCAAAACGATTCAAAAGAATTATTTCATTTGTTTCATTGTTTCATAACTAATTTTTTTGCAGTACTCCAAAGCCAATTTTTCCTATTTGAAAATTGCAGTCTTTTCACAGCTTTGGGGGCGAAATGCCACTAATGCAAAACTGAAAGGATTTTTAAAATATGTACATTATATTAAATCTGTTGTGTTGTTGATGCGTTTGATGGAGTGTGCATTTTTTTTTTAACGAAACCTAAACAGCACCGACCAAAAATTTTTCGGGTTTACAAAATGTACAAGCTGAGTGTACTCCATAGCTTTCTTGTATAGCACTTTTATCTGTACAGTTCGTCACCGTTTTCAGGAAGAGCCACTCATGGCGAAAATGGCATCCCCCCCCAATTTTTGGTAATTTTTTGTTCTAAGACATAGCGGACTGTTTTGACATGTTTCCTTGAGCAAAACATCATTCATGTCAAAATGGCATTGATGTTGTCGGGGGCCAAAACCTCGAAGGTTAAGAGAGACAAAACTGACTGCCCCGCGTACCTGTACAAAACCTAGTGACTGGAAAGGTCGAAAAGTAAGTCAACTGAGCATCTCATGTTCACCAAGAGACAAACATCTTTGTTACATTCAAAGCGGTGCACACATAAACATGCGTGCCACTTCCCTATGGAAAAAGACGGTGAACAGTAGGGCGAAAATGTTGGATGACGTCGGTTTTCGATTTCACGAATGGACACATGCCTTTGCTAATTGATTTTGGCTTAGGCAAACGTTTCTCTCGAATCATTTGAAGGGTTTTCTACAGCATAAGCTTATTTCGTGATAATGTAGTATATTTTGTAGTTTTAAAACAGGAGAAACTTCTGCCGATTATCTGAAAAACCAGTGTTTCTTCTAAACCTATGGGGCCTCTTGAAAACGGTGACAAAGTATGTGCCTATGTTAGGTACATTTATTGTCTTCTGCGTAGCCGAGCGGCTGCTTCGACACGTGTATGGATGGACGTTCGTATTTGTGTGGTCTCCACTTTTTGCTATCATGTTTTTGTATTACATGTACACCCATTTATTCCACCGGATACCTCAAAAAGTGTATGGTGCAGGTGCGTTGAAGGTAGTCTGGGGGTCGTTTAAACTGGCTCCCGTGGAGGGAGTATGTTCCTGTCGACAGTGCATGGGTTCCCAACGGGAGACTTTGAGATGCTGGTGGCACCAGACATACCGGTCCTTTCCTCAACTGTGCACTCATGCTCAAAACAACGCCAGCATGTTCAAAACTGGTAAAAAGACTGATATGTCTGTCGCCTCCAAGCGTCTCCCATTGGTGCTCTCGTTCGCGTGATGGGGACCCAGACAAATCTCTTGTGCTAAATTCTTTGTTTTTTTTTTACGTGAATTGAAAGCTGTCGGAATGTCTTGACACAACTTGTATGGAGCATGAAATTGTAGAGAATGGTCAAAGGACAAATTGACTTGGATGCTTAAGTTTGCCCTACGCCTACTTAAAAAATAAGCAGGCTAGACTGTAGACCAATCAGGCAAGGGACCTTTTGGTATAAGGTAATCATTTTTCTAACAGTATAAATATAAATTGTAGCATTAAACATTGTTGAAAATTCTCTATAGAGTTCTGAGCAAATTAAAGTCTCGTCCTTGTTTCGTTTTAACATCGAAATGCATCTATGGAATTCTTTTTACAGTCTATATTTTTGTCTAGTGACCGTCTGCCTCGTTTCTTTTATGTTAAATTTATTTTGTTGCCACAAAAAGCACACAACGTTGTTACCATGTTATGTAATGCTGAATTAGCTCCGTAGGTTTATACATGTACAAGGTTTATAAGCTGTCTCATCGGTTGCAGGCTGCAACAAGGAGCCTGGTACACCGAGTTATCTGATTGCACATAAGCATAATTCGATAATTCCAATTCTGAGTAATTGGGATGCAGTCTTGTCCGAAAATGGCATTATTTAGCCGTTTTGCAGAGGGATGTATTTTCAAAATGGTTACTTTTCCGGGCAGTTAAATTTCCTTCATTTTAGGGGTGGTCTGCTTTGGGTGAGAATATCGCAAAAAATCAAGTCAACCCACTAAACTTTGGAAAGGAAAATGCAAAAGGACATGTCGAAGATAACTTTGCTGTCCATCTTCGACACCTGTGAGGGTTATATTTTTAAAATAATTTTGAAATGAAAGGATTTATCATTGGTGTCTATGGGAATTATCTACAAGGGTGCACTCCTAGGTGAACGACGGTCTACTGAACCACCGTGACGCGCACAAAATGGCGTTCTCACTACAGCAGAATTGTGCAAATGCTCTATACAAATCAAATGTGCACCAACGATGACTGCAGCCCCGCGAATTTTTAGAGTTTGATTTGACGACGTATCTCCGCTGAGTTAGTTGGTATTTCCACTCAGTAATCATTAAACTTGTGTTAAATGTGCTGTCTTGAATCGATTTATAGGCCTCGAACTGGACCAAGAGAGGGGGCGCAATCTTCTTAGCAACGGGGCTCCTTTGATCGGAAAATGGTCGGAACTGAACTTCGCTAGTCCACGATGACTATGAAATGCACGCGTTACGGTCTTGCCGCTACCAGCAAAATGAACATTTTAGACCACCAACGTGACTCTTTTCAACCTTTGAGCGGGTGTTTCTGCTTGAGGTGGGTAGGGCCTACCGTGAATAGATCTGTTTGTCACTGTGCACATATTTGCGTCGTTTCCTTGGGCCACGGCAAATGTTTAGTATACATGTACTTGGAATGTTTATCAAGCAAGTGTGTTAGACGTGACACCAGGGCCGAATTCATATCGGTGTTTATCACACTGGATTTGTGAATTGTTTTTCAAACCATAGCAGATAACTGGTGTAGACGAAATTGACAAAACACGCCATAAAAATGACTCAAATACAACTCTTTTACATCTTGGAAGCCGTCAACGATTTGGGGCAAAATAATCCGAGCTTTTCATTGCTCTAAGATGTATTATTAATTTTATATCATCAACACAGGCCTATATCACTGTTATAGAGCTAGGCCAAACGGTCTTACGAGTGCCTGGCTCACAAAACCCCGTCTTCTTGAGAGAAGGGCCTAGCTCCCTAGCTCTTGCGGGTGTTAGGTTGGTTGTGAAGTTCCCTTGCCCGGTAGCCTAGCACCTAGTGGCTTTTGCGGCTTAAGAGTTAAATCTATCCTCCATTGGCATTGCTCGGCCATATATAACGCCAACGGGAGTCTTTGAATGTATGCTCAGTCATCCGTTACGCAAGTCCCTTTGTGTAAGGATTACATCAAATTATTCTAGCATCGTGCTTGAGACAACTCGTTGCTTGGCCTGTCCATAATAGACATTAGCAGAGTGTGATTGCGGCAATTATTGTGACCACCAGTTTTGACAGCCACGCAGGGAGTTAAAAACACTCCACGATAACAGTAAGAGTGACAGGGGTGTGTGTTTTATAGGAAGTGGGAGAAAAATCTTACCTCACCACTTGATGCAAGTAGGTTTATACCGTGTTAAGTGTCCTTTGACACGATATTTATGTACTTGCAGTACATGTACGACGGATGGTGTGTCGCGGTACGGGGAGTTGAGCTCGCTCACGATTCACAGGATGAGGCTTCCACGTCCTAAGACAACGGCATCCAACCGGCGCATTCTTCTTTTTGGAATGATCTCGGCTTCTGCGGTGTGGATTTCCCTGATTTATGTGGGGACGCGTGTGGAAATGCTACCCAAGATAACGGGGCTTTGGAGGAACGGCCGATCGAGTGCAGGTACTAGAGCAGGAGAGGAACTGCAAAAGTATGAGGACACGAACGCTAGAGGCAACAGTGCAGGTGAGGTCGTTCATAAACAAGGCCAACCTTCGTGGGGTAGGCCTAATATTACTGGAGACCGTGCAAGCCAACCGTTGGGAATACACGTACTTGAACTTCAAGCCGGTCAAGATCGTTCGGAGAGCTTACAAGACTTGTACCCGAGCATAGACGCTCTTCTCAGAGACATGGGCGTGATGAACGTGAGCGAAACAAGTGCTGAACACGACTCGGGATCGTCGCCTGATGGGAAAGCCCATGCCCGCGGCAGCGCTGTGCTATCTACCCCCGATAGCAAGGTGCGCGTGATCATACTGGCCAGCATGCGAACAGGGTCCTCGTTCGTGGGCGAATTTCTCGGCAACAACCAGGATGCCTTTTACCTTTTCGAGCCGGGACTCAGCGTGACTGAGACGTTCGAAAGATACAAGCTTGGGCCAGGGGTCCAGGAAAATGTCCATTTGAAAATGCTGCAGAAGCTGTTCCGGTGCGACTTCCAAGGCCTCGGTTTTTACATCAAGTGGCTATCCAGACACTCATTGCAAAGCCTGCACAAGATCGCGCCGCGTTTTTACAGTTCCTGCACTCGCACTCTCTCGGGCCGACGAACCGAAGCCCGGTGGGCGCAGTGCTCTATCACGCAAGGTATGGCCACAAGTATATGCAAGAAGAGCGACTTCATCGTGGTTAAGTCCATACGAGTTCCGGATATCAATCTGTTGCTGCCCATGCTCGAGGATAAGACGGAGACGAATCTGAAAGTAATACACCTGGTGAGGGACCCACGCGCTATGATGAAATCACGAGTCGGAGCCATGAGAGACACAAACCTGAGGCGGCTGTCCACCGATGATAAGTACACGCTGAGCACTTACTGCAAGTACAACTTGGCCAATTTGGAACTGGGAACGCGTCGACCCTCACTGAAGCAGCGCTACATGTTTCTGAGGTACGAGGATGCGGCCCAGGACCCGAGAGGCGCCGCCGCCAGAATCTACCAATTCCTCGGTCGCAGCGGCCAGGTTCCGGAGTCGGTGACGAAGTGGATCGAATCCAACACGGTGACTTACAAGCCGGGGATTTATTCTACCACTAGAAACTCCGTCTATGCATACCAGAAATGGCGACTCACTCTGCCTGCCTGGACGGCTGTGGAAATCCAGAAGACGGGGCAGTGTGCAGGGATGATGCGGAGGATGGGCTACCATTCCCTTGATGACCGGTGGCATCTCAGAAATTTGAGTCGAAGACTTGTAGATCCAATTCCACCAACCAAGGATGATGAAAAATATGACTGGGCGTGGTTTTAGACAGAATATCGAAAATTCGGGGAACTTTGAGTATAGAAATAGCCATAAAACAGGTTTCTATTGCACAATTCTACACCTGAGCACTGGCATAACTTTAAGGAGAAACGACAGCAAAGTGGAAATTCCTTTTACGAGCCTTTCTCATTGTGTTCGACATTGTAATAATTTAAAGTCAAAATAACGATTTCTGTGTCCATCAAATCAATTTGCATCTGTCAGTTTCTTCTTGTAAAATTGTAAACATGCAAATGTACATGTATTCAATGCTCATGAGTAATTATTACATGTATGTATAACAGAGAATTATATTGAAATTATGAGCTTAATCCCAGGACTTCTTTTTGCGAAGTGGATTGATACAATGTCCTTGTATTCCCCCTTTTACGACAAAACAGTAAAGCAAGGGCACATTTACACGTATCTCTTGTATTAAGGAATAACCCCGACCCAAATTAGGTCTTGGGTTATAACCCCTAGAATTTATGACTATGCTTCCATTTGCAAGTTTCCCTCTTTTAGTACTTTTTTCATTATATTCCATTCTTCTTTGAGCTTTGCTTTAGTTATTTCTCTGATCCTTTCCTGCTTACTCTACAGGAAATGTTGATTTCCTCTTCTTGCTCCTTTGTTTATCCTCTTTCAAAGAAAAGTGGAGAATACCACTTGTATTCTCTTCCTCTAGCTAGTGACAGGTGTGCCCTAACAATGGTCATCCAGATTGTAAGTAGGATGCAGGTACACCAAGTCGCTGCTTGTGTTTACACTTGACCAGAGCTGTGAAACCAGCAGTCCATGTTAATTAAGTGCCTTGCCTGCCTGGCCACTAAACGACCAATCAGGTGTAATACTGTGTAATAGTTTTAAATCTAGCCAATGGTAGTTGAATTGATCATGTGACTGACCCATGATGTGGCAGCTGGTTTGCCCCAAGAGTTGGCAGTGGCCAAGCTAGTATTCCTGCTTCTGCCACTGACCACACGCGAGAATTTTTGTCAGCAAACTACAATTCCACTGCTTGCTGAATCCAGTAGTGTTGTGGAGGATTCCGAGGTCCTCTTTCTTCATATTTTCCTTTGCTCAAGCGTTGGCTCTCTGTTTAAGATGAGTCCGAATATTACTTTTGTCATTCTTTAACTTACTGATTAGTGCTTTTACTTGTGTACTTATTGCCAGTCTAAATTAAGAGTCTTCTGAGGTAGTCGGAAGAAATTGCAATCCTGCAAAGTCTTTGAATGATATTTTGAGAGGGAAATCATTAAAGCTGCGTCATTTATTCATCGACAGACTAAATGTCTTAAAATTATGTATTTTCTACCTGATCTGTTGAGTTATCATTCGGAGCGATACCAAACCGATGACAAATTCTCTGAACTTTATTTGGCATCATGTGTACAAAGTTGAATTGTGTATTTTCTTTGTCTATTTTCACCTGTTGTAGTGATGCTAAAGTTTTTGCCATTTGGTCAATTTATTTAGATTTGAGCAGACCTGAGCGAGACGTTGAAAACCTTTGAAATGACACGGTTTTATGTCCTGCAAGCCTATATGCATGGTGAAGACTGATTTTGCCCTTCACGTCCGTTCCCCATTCAAACGACCCCGCCTATATGCATAAGCCGGTTTCCAATACTCGACTTGGGTCCGTCGGAGGCTTCAAATGTTTTTTACTTCCTGACTTTGAGGTTGTAAGTGCAATAGGAAGTCTGATAGTGCCACAAAACATCAAGTAAGATGCAAAAGAGCCCAACATTACAGTACATCAATTTAAGTAAAATGCTTCAGGCCCACAATCAAGGATTGGTTTCCTACACGACGCCTGAGATCGACGGAGACGACGTTGGAAAACGGCCATGTAGCTCTGCAGTACAGTGCGAACGTGGGTGTGGTTATAAGCCACGCACCCCGTGCATGACGTCACTACGCAAAACTCACGCTGCATCGAAAACCATTTACATGTACAGAACATGGATATGCCGAATCGACTGCGGACAGACGTCACACGCTCACTGCAAACAACACGTGGGTGCGTTGGAAGACGTGCTGGTACTGAGCGCACGGTGGTCACGACTTTGTGTGAGGAATCGCTGGCACACCTACGTGATATCATAGCTCTATGGTGATATGGAGTAAGTACAATGTATTTTGCTTTTATTATTCCACAAATTACAGGAGTAAAATTCACAGGCCTAGTCCTTGAGACCATGGAGAAAGGAAAAGACCACGTTGAGACTAATCCCAGGAGCAGGACTAGGATCAACCATGGAGAAATCAACCATCAACCGAAATGGGTCAACTTAGCTGAGTTACATGTAACTCGTACCCATGCAAGTTGGCTCGTACCCAAGTCAACTACTCCCCAGGCCCGGCCCAGTCAGCAGAGAATAATTATGCAGAGCATAATAGGGTTTTGATGCTCACATATATTGAACGCATGTATACCGTTCCTTTTACCAGTCGGACTTAATTCGTTGAAAATCCCCGACGTTTTCAAGAAGCAGGAGATAAAATGCATCTGACTACAGCCCCCCCCCGAACAGAGATAATCCACAGATGTCCCTCTCCAGTCATGCCAGTCAACGTCTTTGTCCATTTTAAATTTACGCATCTAAGTCTGTTTTCTTGTGTGGCTTGATTAATTTGAATTTATAATCAAATTAGTGAAAATGCTCTGATCGAACATGTATGGTTGATGTCGGCTTCTTGTGTGGCTTGATTTATTTGAATTGATAAAATCAGTGCAGAATATACAATGTACTCTCACTGAACATGTATTGTTGACTATGTCAGCTTCTTTTGGGGAGAAGGGGCAGTTTTTGAAATACGCCAACTGGGTTTATGACGCCTTTAAAGAAGTCCAACAAACTCTCATCGAGAATGATTGCTCCAGTCGGTTCTGTTTGGGCAGAGGGAATGTTGATTGGTTCAGTAGCTTTAGTAGGCTCATAATGCCCACTTTGAGATTTTGCACTCATCTTGCAAATTGTTTATCCCTCCCAAGCAAGTCATTGAATGTGATGATGTGCTCACGTGCAGCTGTAACACTAGGCCACCCCATATGATAAAAGCCTGACAAGGTCAAAAATAAAATTTTCTGAGTGCTCGCCCAACTTCACTTTGGCATGCTGTGCATATTGAATTTTTGAAATGATATTTGACACGACTGCATCAGGATGGTGTAGATCAGTTAATAGTCTGAGCAACTTGGACTGTAAGAATAACCTTTTTGAAGATTCGGGATATGGTCTGGCAAAACATGGCAATGTAAACACACTATACTCATCAGTGTGAAGTCCCCAACTTGGTCTGGAATCAACTAACTCCGAGTCAACTCCGTCTCAGGTCAACTTTGTCCCAAGTTAACTCAGTCTCGTCAACTCTGGAAGGAAGTTTTGACACACTTTAGCATACCTGTAATAAAGTACACATATTTCATTTCCAGAATTCTAAAACTGCATGTACTGTTCATGTAAATTAACTGACATATGCGTGAGATGCCTGGCCTTTTAATGTGGGAAGGCCAGGCACTTGGATGCATCATTGGTTACCTCAGATGAGAAGGCAAAATCCCAGTCTTTCTTGCTAAACTGTCAAACGTTGGCATATAAGTATTTCCAGAATTCTAACATTGCATGTACATTATATTTGCACATAAAATCCTCTACTGACATGTGCAGCTAATACGTAATGCCCTTGGCTGGTTCCCTGTCCAGTCACACAGCTTGCGGCTCGCACTCGGACGTGACATGAAAGTGACGAAACAGCCGTCAGTTTTGTGCAAGTGGGACAAAATTCGTCCAGAGTGGGAAAATGGCAAGAAAAAGGCAACATTTTTTTTCTCTAAACGAGGAAAAGGCGAGTTTTCTGCAATTAGCAACCTTGGGGATAGTTTGCCCCGTAAGTAGTGAACACACCGGTGCAATTTCAGCTCATAAAATCAAGCGGATGTTTAGTTATCCCCCGGATATCCCGGATAAAGTTTTTGCGAAAAAAATCCCTATGAATTGGAACAGGGCCCAGTATATGATGGAGGAGTATACCTCGGCCCTGTTTAACAGTCTACCTTTCAATAGGCCTTCATCCATGATCATGTAGGCCTACGTAAGCCTGCATCATACACGACAAAAATGTTGAGTTCACACACTTGCTACTGTCACTGTGTGCTGTACTGAGATCCAAAGCCTTTGCAATTACATCAATCATGTACTGTATGTAGGTCTATTGACCTGATTTCCATTTTTTTTTTTAAGTGCAAAATGAATGCTTTGAAAATGTACCCACAGTGAAGAAAGTAAATACTAACGTTACGCCTACTTTATGTATATTTATATGTGTGTATGTATATTTAGGGGTAATACTAGAATTTATTAACTTTGAAGAACTTCTTCATGTTCTTGTGTGGGATTTTCAGAGATTTTGTTCTCGTGTGCCACAAACAGGGAACAGTCAGCTGAATTTGTGCCAATTTGTGGATTTTTGAATTTTTTCATTTTTTAATTTCAGGTTTTTAAATTTCATGACACCAAAATTGTTCACAGAGGTAATCAGTAGCATGTATTTTAAAGGTTACAATATCGTTATTGACTGTAACTGAATGAATTCAAAGTTTTTCAGCAAAGAGGTTTGGCAGTGATGCATGAGGAAAGTCAAGGAAACGTCGAAGAGTGGCACAATTAAGAGACTCAACTTCATTAGGGCCAGGCTAGTGGACTATACCTCCAATACTTGGCCCTATACTCCTTAACGAGAAACAGGTGGAGGAAGGCTTAAACATTGGGATAAAGCTCCCCGGCCACGAACGGTATCAACCACATACAGGTATTTCTCAATTGCCTTTTTGATTAAGTCACTTAGTAGTTTATCTTGTTCAATTTGCCCAAATGGTGAATTCCTGACCATCGTGCCTGTTGTTGAATTATTTGTCATCTCGATACCAGATTTTGTTACAACTGTGATTTTCTCAAGATCTTCAGTGGCAGTGAACATGTACAACTCTAGACACCAGCAGTTGTGGTGATCTCTGAGAACGTTAATAACTGCACACCACATTAGGTGCGTTCAACTAGCATCTATCATGTGTTTCAATGAATCTATTTGTAACAAAGAGTAGTTCCCCTTAGGCTTTCATGCCTATAAAAGTATGTAGTATACCAGTGCAGTCATTGCAAAGGTTTGGGACCACTCGTACAAAGTGCATCAACCTGAAGAAAAACCAAACTTAAACCAATCAATCATGCCAACTTATGTATATTTTCAGTGTGTTAGCTTCATTAAAACAGCTATTTGACTACATTTCCATTATTTGAAATATTAACAGTCTATTTAGTGTGCCCTCCTTTTTTCTGATTACTTAGACTTTTTTCGAATTTTTTTTTTACCCATGCTGCCTTACAGACAAAATATCATACAAGACCTGCCTTTGCAAAAAATTTCATTCACAGTGATATTATGCATCATTCAATGAGACAATGTAATGCAGGCCCAGTGACAGAACCAATAAAATTCCAGGTGGTCTTAAACTTTTGCAAATGACTGTAGTTTAGAGTTCCCCTTCCTTGCATTTAATTTGGCCACATGTACACGTACCGCGTAGTGTGGCCATGATACTCAGTGAAGCAGATCAGCAGAGACAAGTCAACTTACATATCATGTATTGTTCCACATGTAACTGGAGTGTGGTTTGCTGCTTGAGTCCTGTCTGCTAGAGTCAGTGATGGAAGTCTGAGTGTACATGTATTCTTGTAAGTTCTGTTTGACACACTGCGCTGGTGAATGCTAAAAAAGCTGGGTTATTTTGGGCCATGTGACTTGTCACCGCTGGCGCCGTGACTTGGCCGTCCCATGCTTCATTTTTTAAAAATCAGGTGCACTCAATCCAACATATTGTTTTGTTATGATGGTCATTTGAAGTTCAAAACCGCACACACTGTATGTGCCGGCCTGCCTACATGCCAGTATAGTACATTGAGCACGGCAGCGGAGAGGTATACAGTTTTGGCCGATCTGTTATTCCACAGCCCCCCCCCCCCGGTTCTTTTTTTGGTTAAACTTTAGTTCATGGTTTTCAAGTCTTATTTGATTTTTCAGTTTGGTCATTTTTTTAAAGGGTTGATAATTTTTTTGGATTGTGATACATGTAGAATTGGTGTGTGAGTCCTATTGATTCAGTTCCCTGCAACTTTGCTTTTGAACATTCTTCGGTTAGTTTGAGTTTCTCATATTGTGATAGCTTGCTATTTTTCCAGGTCTGCCGTGTATTCTATTGCACCATATGCCTGCATTGCATTGGCTGGACGCCACACCTGCATACACACCTGGCAGCTGGCAATCAGGTAAGAGATGACTGGACATGGAGACATGCAAGTCTGGATATGACATCATGCTCATGCATGGTGTACATGAAATTGACACCTGCTAACCTTTCTGATTTAATCACAATTAGGCAGCTGTGGTGGCTTCACCCTCCATCCATGAAAGGGAAAAAAGAGGGGAAGAAATTTTTTGAAGGGGGGGGACTGCGAGGCGTGGAAAGCAATGGAAGGTTTTATGTCACTGTGTGTGGGGGAGGGGGAGATAACCTTTCCCCTCCCCTATAGGGTCAGGAAGATCAGGCATATATTGAATAATGTATCTGCTTCAGCTGAAAATCTGACCTTATTTAAAATAAAGTTGAAGTTGCCACTTGGTGCAGCCATCAAAAGAAATGTACAGTTCTGTGTTAATTTCTGTTGTCTTAGAGAACTAACTTAGAAACTAAAGAGACTGCACAGTGCTGGATGTTATACACTTTGTAGACATGATGGCAAATATTTTCTGGCTGAGAACATTACCTACGGTAAACTGGTCTTGGGGTATAAGTACCCCCCAAATTTACTTATGAAAGCCACAGTTTTGAGTCTTTGAACAGTTTTTTGCAGCTCCTTAGTAACAACGTGAAAATGAATATTTGTCTTCAAAAAACTTTTTTTTATTATAAATGGGTGAATTAGTTAAAGCATTTAATGATTATTTTAATTTCACAGATCAAGCCCTTTATTGTCATAATATCTGCTCTTGGAACAGTGATGAAGGTCCAAGCAAGACAGTCAGATTTTGGAATCAAAGAGGGCCAGCAGTCTGTAGCTACAACCCTTAGAAGAGGAGTTTTAAAACAGTGGTGAAAACTGCATGTATCACTTTGCAAATACTGACCTTGACCCTGACCCCACCAGATGCAGCATTCTGCAGCAGATGTAAAAGGCTGATGCACTATAGCCGTGTTCCTCTTTGACTTTTTCTTCCGTGGGCGTGCGGAAACTTACTGCCACATGCCTTTGTGTCAATCTACCGGGCATTCCCACCTCGGACTTGTTTTTAACCGTAATGGAATGCTTATTTGCTGTGTTAGGCCTAACATGATAAGACCAGCTGATTACATAGCCTGCGCTGTACAAAATGATGAAATCGGCAAAATTTGACAAAAACAAAGATAAAATCAGACAAATTTGGCCAAATCTGCTATAAAGACGACAAACTCGTACAAGAAAAGCCCTGTACAAAATGTGTGTATAGCTTTATCTGGGCATGCCTCACTGTGTGTGTGTGGCATGCTGCTGTACTGTACGCATGGAGCTGGAGGCTGGGAACCATACAACCATTTTCTCTGTGTGGGCAATAGTCTGGTTCGTATGTTTAGCGTGGTCGCGGTCAATCTACATTGTATGGGAATTGTTCCCAGTGGACTTTTCGCACCCCTGCTAACTTACCGTGTCTGCACGGAAAGCTTATGCGACCCTTTCGGCCTGTTAGCTTTACATCGCGATCACGGTAAGTTGACAGGGACGTTATAGTTTACCGTGTGTTCCCATTGGATTTAATTTTGTAATTCTACAGGAAAGTCGTGGTAAGTTAACCAAAAAAGTCCAATGGGAACACAGCTTTTGATGCACTGGGCAATCAACAGCAGCCAAACAAAAACTGTTCATGTTGAAACAACAGGAGCTAGTCTCCTTGAACAATGCCACTGTTGGATCTTGTGGTGGCTGGCAAGCACAGACTGCCAGGCTGTTTGGCCTTGGGGAAAGTTGACATGTAGGATCTTATTACACTGGGCAAGCAAATAACTTTGACAAATGATGCAGACTGATGTTGTCTGGCAGGGTTTCTAGCCAAACAACCCTGAACAGTTAGGGTTATATATTGTGCTTGTTTTGATTATGGAAATGGCTTTGGAATCATTCATATTAATTGACAGAAATGAGGCCTTTCAATTTCTCCAGTCCAGTTAACTTTTTCTTTATTGTTAGGGCAATTGTTTGCAAGTGGATGGAAGCAGAGATGGTTGTGAGAGTGGAAAAAATGTGCTGTCCATCCAGGAGAAGTCTGTCTTCTGTAGTGACTGTAAGTTGTCTTTAAGTATTGGAGATGATGTTGAAGCCATATATTGATGTCACAGACACATGCCCAAAGTAATGTCAAGGCAATTTTGAAGGTTTCAAATACAGACACTCAAGCCAATAGGGGTCCTAAGACATTACCTGAACCAAATCACATTCAGGTTTGACAACTTAACAATCACCATTGTGCAATTAATTGTGTGTGTTCATTTGACCCTAAAAGAACCAGGCAGTAGGTCTGCCCCCTCGAGATTTTGTCTGATATCGCCACAGTACAGTAGTCGAGCCTTCAGGAGTTTTCAGTAACTCTCTTGTGGTCTTTTTTACACCAGTTCTATGAAAATCGCACATACATGCATCTTTCTCATTACAAGCACCCCTTTTTCCTGAAAGAAAAAGCCAAAAAACCCACCCAAAAAAAGTCTGGTCCGAGCCAATGTGGCTCATCAGGCCGATGTTTATTGTGGTTTCCTTCGCATGAAATGACTGAGAATATTTCTTTTCCCCCAGGATGGGATGCCAGTTCATCACAGGCTGCTTCCCCAGCTAATGCTGGTACCCATTTATACTCCTAGGTGGAGAGAGGCAAGCAGAGATGAAGTGGCTTGCCAAGGGCCACAACATACTGCCAGCAGTTGGATTCGAACCTCCAACCCTATGATTGGAAACCATAGACCCTAACCACTTGGCCACATGAAAGAGGTCAGCCATACTTTTCCAATTTTTTTACAAGCGCAGCCTTTAGTTGCATAAAGCAGCTTTTTACAGTCACTTTGACTGTAGTTCTGTGAAAATCACTCGTACTGTTGCAGTAAATTCCTTCATTTAGTTTCTTTTTCCCAAGCATGCGGCCAGGTGGTTGTAAATAAAAAGCCAGACTTCATTAGGTAGAACCTTGACCTACAGGTTCTCCGTAACCCTTGGAGCGTAGCGTGTCCATAAAAGACCTGTCGTGGACAACACAGCCCACACACACACTCTCTCTCCACTCTCTGCTCTCGACAACTGCCCTGAGGCAACAAAGTCCTTATGTCAGAGTTTCATCCTTCACGGCTGCCTGGGCTTTGGAAGCTGGTTCGTTAGCAATTGTCCCTCATCACAGCTGATGGATCCATGTAGCGGAGTCCTGGCTACCTTGTCTACAGTTTGATGGTAACATTTAATTTATAAGCCTCGGCAGCAGCAGGCAAATTTTTATTTCAACTCGGCAGTTGCGGGTTATTTTGATTCAAAGTTCAAATAAAAAAACAGCCTTCACTATACTGTTCCCATGTAGCACCCACTTCCCCGAAGCAGGTCGACCAAAAAAACGTACCAGCACTTTCAACTGCTATGCTGAGTGCGCATAGTGGCTTACGCTTACGTTATGCTTGTAACCTTCAACTTCAAATGACCAAATCAACTATCAAGATTGACTAGATACTCCATTTCTGCATTTATAAGGAGTGTTTTACATGCAAGCCGAGAGTTAAAAAAAATCAGGCTTGGGACAGCCAAAATCTCGGCTGTGAGATGGTACAAAATATCCCGCCAACTTGCAGGTTAACACTGGAATAAAATTGACCGAACTTGACGACATTGATTGGTTTGTCCTAGCAATCCTAGCAGGAGGAATTTCTGTTGTGTGTGCTGCATTACAGGTTCTGCTATAAAATGCCCACCAACCAAAGAGTGCGCTATAACCATTCCATGGTATTATCATTCCTTAATCGCACAGTGGTAATGGAAAGAGGAAAACAGAACTGAGCACTGCCTTAATGGCACAATGGTAATGGAAAGAGGAAAACAGAACTGAACACTGCCTTAATGGCACAGTGGTAATGGAAAGAGGAAAAAAAGAACTGAACTCTGCCTTAATGGCACAATGGTAATGGAAGGAGGAAAAAAGAACTGAACACTGCCTTAATGGCACAGTGGTAATGGAAAGAGGAAAAAAAGAACTGAACTCTGCCTTAATGGCACAGTGGTAATGGAAGGAGGAAAAAAGAACTAAACACTACCTTAATGGCACAGTGGTAATGGAAAGAGGAAAACAGAACTAAACACTACCTTAATGGCACAGTGGTAATGGAAAGAGGAAAACAGAACTAAACACTACCTTAATGGCACAGTGGTAATGGAAAGAGGAAACGAAGAACTGAACACTGCCTTAATGGCACAATGGTAATGGAAGGAGGAAAAAAGAACTGAACTCTGCCTTAATGGCACAAGGGTAATGGAAAGAGGAAAAAGAACTGAACACTACCTTAATGGCACAGTGGTAATGGAAAGAGGAAACAAGGAACTGAACTCT